TGTTGAAGTCATTCTTCAGCTCAGCCAGCATCCACCCATAAAAAGTTTATTTCTGACTTCAACTGAATACCCAAACTCAAGGGATGCTGTTTGGTGAGAGGGTGTGGCTAGCGTTTAGGTAGTGACTTGGCTCAGGCTCATAAATGATCTTTTATGTTGCCATCCAGTTCTCTCTATTCTAAAATACTTCCTTTGTAGAAATCGCCTTTGTTGTTAGACCATGTGGATTCAAGGAAGAACGGAGGCTCCTGTGTGGTCTGATATACTTGAGGCTCCTGTGTCTGATATACCTGATTCAAAGCCATATTCCAATTGCTTACTACAGAAGGGCCTTTGGGCAATTTACTTAATCCTCTAAATCACATCTTTATTTTTTAATTGAAGATTCTGATTCCTCCTACTGCTTGCATAAGAGTTAAGTGAGCCTGGCACACAACAATAACCCTTTCCCTTTTTTCTACCTGGGAGACACTATGACATTTTCAACAGAAATTAAAAATTCTGTTTTCCTGTTTTTCATTTCCAACTTTCTTTTTTATTTTATTTCTTTCTTTTTTCTTTTAAAGTTTACAATTCTAATGAGAGCAGAAATAGGAAAAAGCTGTCCGATAAAGAATAATATTTTGTAAAGTTTTTTAAATTAAATAGTTTAAATTGTTATTAGAAAGATGATATACAGAGGGGTTACTGTTTCATAAGTCAGGTAGTGGGTATGTTTCTTCCTTCGCTCTCTCCCAGTTGAAATTTTGTAATTTTATCTTCTGTCCTCTTGCTACTTTTTTTTTTTTTTGTCGGTCATGGGGCTTGAACTCTGGGCCTGGGCGCTGTCCCTCAGCTCTTCAGCTCAAGTCAAGCGCTCTACCACTTGAGCTACAGCGCCACTTCCCTCTTGCTACTTCTGTTTAGGATGGATCAGGGGCCCAGTCTTAGCCTGTTGCTTAAGATAGAGCGTTCTTGGTGGCAAGTGAAACTGGGGTTAATGAACTCTTCCAGTGTCTGGCCTACTCAGTTACTGACTCACAGGGGCAAGATGAAGTACACAGAGCTGTTGTTTCCTGTCCAGTCTGTTAGGGAGATGAGGTGAGGCTGCTTTCCCACATATCCCCCCAGAAGGTCTAGAATCATGTAGCCCTGTGCACCTTGTTCCCCAACTTCTGTCAATGTAAGACAAGGGGGGCCTTCTTGTCCTGAGTCTTCAGAACCAAATGCCTTAGCATAGTGTCAAGATCAGGCAAATTCAGGATTCTTAGCGAGCTTTAGAAATAAAATCCAAGAAGTAGAGCTATGGCTAAAGTGGTAGAGCACCAGCCTTGAGTGAAAAAAACTTAAGGGACAACACTCAGGCCCTGAGTTCAAGACACAGTACTGGCACAAAAAGAAAATGAAAGGAAGAAAGGAAAGAGAGATTCCAGCCAGAGATATGGATGTGAGAAACAACAAAGAGACAGAAGCTTCTAGTCCAGATGCGTAGTCATCAAAGCTCCAGAAGGGCCCAATGCTGGCGGCCTAGCTACTCAGATCTCATTTTGAAGCTACTGTAGACAAATCTGTGAGACTCTTATCTCCAGTTAAAGGCTGCAGTCATAGTGTTTCTCTCCCCCCCCCCCCCTTCTTCCCATCTCTTCTTTCTCTCATCCTGGGGCTTGACCCAAAGGTTTGTTGTCCTGAGCTTTTGTGCTCAAGGCTAGTTCTCTACCAGTTCCACTTCTAGCTTTTTGGTGGTTAATTGGAGAAAAGAATCTCAAGGACTTTCCTGCCCAAACTGGCTTCAAACTATGATTCTTAGATGTCAGCCTCCTGAGTAGCTGGGATTACAGGCCTGAGTCTCCCACGCCTAGCCATATAACTCTTTATAAATAAAATGATTTCGGGGCTGGGAAGGTGGCTCAGTGGTAGAGCGCTTGCCTTGCATGCTCAAGGCCCTGGGTTCGATTCCTCAGCACCACATAAGCAAAAAGAAAAAAGCCGGAAGTGGCGCTGTGGCTCAAGTGGTAGAGCACTAGCCTTGAGCTGAAGAGCTGAGGGACAGCACCCAGGCCCAGAGTTCAGGCCCCACAACCGGACCCAAAACAAACAAACAAACAGGGGGTGGGAAGGTGGCTCAGTGGCAGAGTGCTTGCCTTGTTGCATGCACGAGGCCCTGGGTTTGATTCCTCAGCACCACATGAGCAGAAAAAGCTGGAAGTGGTGCTGTGGCTCAAGTAGTAGAACACTAGCCTTGAGCCGAAGAGCTAAGGGACAGTGCCTAGGCCTAAAGTTAAGGCCTCACAACCGACACACACACACACACACACACACACACACACACACACACACACACACACCACAAAACCATAACAAAACTAGGAAGTAGCTCTGTGGCTCAATGTGTTAGAACACTAGTCTTGAGTGCAAAAGCTCAAGGACAGTACCCAGGCCATGAGTTCAAGCCCCATGACTGAAAAAAAAAAATTATAAAAGGTACATTATGAAGGCCTCCCTCCCTCCCTTCAGCAGCCAATATTCAGCAAGAATATTTTTTTGTTTCTTCCAAGCTTTTTGATCTCCTTCCAACAACTTTTATCTTGACTGTATTGCAGCCTTCTACTTCCCAGAATCACATTCTGGACATCATCAGCTTTTGGCACTTTATCTTGTGTCTGAAATTTAAGGTCCCAGCGCAACATTCCCTGAGAAGCCCACAGCCATGCCTAAATATAAATATGCGTGCTCACCCTACTAGGAGGCTTTCTGTCTTCCACCTGCCCTTTCCCATCCCACCCTCCCCTTGTCCTCAGCTGTTCACCTGAAAGATACAAAGCAGAGGGGGTGAGAAAAGAACTCGGGCGGGTGGTACAGTCTTCAGAGGCACGCCCCCAGTGTCCTACTTTCTCTACTTAGGCCCACACCTCCTAAAGTTTCCCCAATCGCCTAAAATGTTCAAATGGTAACATTTTGTTCCTGGTGCCCAAAGGCTTATGACTATCCCATAATGCAAAATGCCTTTAGTCACTCTAGGCTCCCTTGACTCACGCCTTATAATCCTAGCTACGGAGGAGGCTGGGATCTGAGGATCTAAGTTTGAAGTTGGCCTCTGCCAGAAAGTTGGGTAAGGCCCCACAACTCCTAATTTCCTAGTTTAATTCTAGGTAAGGACTAGTGCTCCCAGTTTAATTCTCGGGAAATTTGAATAATGGACGTCAAGGAACAGAGAGTTTCAAGGAACAGAGTTTCCGTAACAGAACAAAGTTTTCGGCCTGCTAGCTGGCCTCTGGGGCCCAGTGGCTTGAAAAAGCCAAGCCAGAATCTGGCCAACCCCTTTTCTGAGGCCCTAAGGGTAATGTATGCAAAGGTTCCTCAAGGTCATAGTTGGGCAATCCATTCAAACTAAGTAGATCAGTGCCTGGCAGAATGGGGGAGGGTATATGAATCCAACCATCTAGCAGGGGCCAGTGTTTAAGGAAGTAGGTGGAGTCTACCAATATGAGTTATTTTATTTATTTATTTTTAAAAAGAATGAGAGGAATAGAAACCAAAACCACTTCTCTTGCTGCTCAGAAAGATTTGTTACTTGGGCTGAGGAGAAGCCTCCTGGAGGTCATTGGCTCTGATCTTATTTATAGAGCTCCTGGATTTCAACAAAAACTGCCTAGGCTGCTGCTTCTGGAGAGCTGAAGCTACCCAAATAACTAGTGGTTGTTATACAACCAGTGGTTATAAATGGGTGAGGGTGAAGGACGGGTTCTTTGAGAGTCTGGAGGATAACGGACTTAAGAAAGATAGAGGATGATTACTGGAGGGCAAGAGGCAAGAGTTAGGGAGGCTGGGCTCAGGAAGGTACCGTGCAGGGGCATGGAGGGGACTTGAGGGATGTGCAGATGCTCTGAAGCCACCATAGCGCTGTGGCTATGCCCGTGGACTCAGGAGCTCTGAGCTCTGATGCTGAGTTCCTGGGTGAACCTGGAGCTGCTCACTTAACCTTTCTTTTCTTTTCTTTTTTTTTTTTTGTCAGTTGAGGGGCTTGAACTCTGGGCCTGGATTCTGTCCCTCAGCTCTTCAGCTCGAGGCAAGCGCTGTACCACTTGAGCCACAGCACCACTTCCAGTTTTCTGGTAGTTTATTGGAGAGAAGAGTCTCATGGACTTTCCTGCCCAGGCTGGCTTTGAACCACAATCCTCAGATCTCAGCCTCCTGAGTAGCTAGGATGACAGGCATGAGCCACAAGCATCTGGTACTTTTTGCATTTTATATAAGAGCGGGTTATGGTTTAAAGGAATATTTAAACAACCAAAATGTTTCAAGTATATAACCTCAAATTTGTTTTGCAACTTGGGAATTGTATCCACTGGACTTTCCACTAAGAATGTTGTAAACATTTTTCCTGTCTCTATAAGTGCTGATTTTAGTTTTAGCCCTAGAATCTCCCTGGAGAAGTGTTTCTGGCAAGAAAATGATGCTGAGTCTTCATATTTATAAAGAACTTCTAAGAAAATGAATCGCCAGTTCTTAGATGTGTCTGTTTAAGAAGATCACATTGTCCCAGGCTCCTAAAAAATCTCCTTGGCAAAACCCAAATGAAAATTCCCACTTTACTGAAATAAAATGTTTTGCAATATTTTGGATGGCTTGTGAGATTGTGTACTTTAGACTATTTAGGCAAGTGCTCTGTGTGTGTGTGTGTGTGTGTGTGTGTGTGTGTGTGTGTGTGTGTGATTACATGAGGCAGGTGCTTGGGAGATGAAAGCAAAGCCTATGGTGTTGAAATACTGACTTGGTGATTGTGTTGAACTTAGGGAGGCAGAGCAAAGGGTTTGCCGCTCAGCGCAGCCCCTAATCCCTGCTTATTGTTATTATCATTATCATCATTATTATTTAACTTTCCTAAGGAAAGACCATCCCCCCCCCCCTTTGCCATTCCCTAGTTTTCTGTTTTTGGCAGCAAATGAGACAATTGCTGAGCCAGCTTTGGCTGGGTTTCGGGAAGTCAGATGACCTTTTCTCTCCACTGCCTCTCTATTCTTCCTGCCCTGAGGTGGACACCATGGACCCACTGCTGACTTTCCTATGCCTGCTGCTCCTGTGCCCAGGTAGGAGTCAGGGGAGGGAGCTGATGAGGGCCCGGTAGGCACAGCCATTGTTCCAAGGTTGAGTCCTATGTGTGAAAGGGACAGTCTCTCCAGCTTCCTTGTTGTGCGATCTTAGCTCTGTTGCGATCCCCACCCACAGGTCTGGTAGCCGCTGCTGCACCCTCCTGCTCTCAGAATGTGAATATCTCTGGTGGCACGTTCACTCTCAGCCATGGCTGGGCCCCTGGAAGCCTCCTCATCTATTCCTGCCCCCAGGGTAGTTATCCATCCCCAGCGACCAGGCTTTGCAAGAGCAATGGACGATGGCAGACCCCAGGATCCATCAGGAGATCCGCCCGGCTTGTGAAAGCAGTGTGCAAACGTGAGGCTCCTCCTGGGCTTCCTTTCATGTCTTCCTCAGTGGCCAGCCCAGAGCTTTAATTGAGGAGTTGCTCAAGATGGAGCTTACTCTGGCCAGGTGGTGTGGGGAGGGAGGGTCAAGCTGCTCTGGCAGAGGTCCTTCTGAAAGTGTCAGTTGTCAATTGCAGCATTGATCACCTCTGTACTCCTAACTACCCAGGAGGCTGAGTTCAAAGCCAACCAGGGCAAAAAAAGTCAGTAAGACTCTGATCTCCAACTAACCAGCAACCCCCACCCCCCAAAAAAAAACCCACAAACTGGAAGTGGAGGTATAACTCAAGTGGTATAGCACCAGCCTTGAATGAAAAAGCTAAGCAAGAAGCCGGCACAGGTAGCTCACACCAGTAATCCTAGCTACTCAGGAGGCTGAGATCTGAGCATCGCAGTTCAAAGCCAGCCAAGGCAAGAAAGTCTAAGAGACTCTTTCTCCAACTATCCACCAGAAAACAAGAAGTGGCGCTGTGATAGAGTGCTAGCCTTGAACAAAAGAGCTCAGGGACAGTGCCCAGGCTGAGTTCAAGTCCCACAACCAACAAAAAAATAAAAAGATAAGCAAGAGTATGAGGCTTGTGGGGTGCCCATGGCTCAGGCCTGTAATCTTAGCTACTCAGCAGGCTGAGATCTAAGGATTGTGGTTCAAAGCCAGCCTGAGCAGAAAAGTCCATAAGACTCTTATCTCCAATAAACCACCAGAAAACCGGAAGTGGCACTGTGGCTCAAGTGGCAGAGTTTCTTAGCCTTAAGCTGAAGAGCTCAGGGACAGCACCCAGGCCCAGAGTTCAAGCCCCACAACTGACCAAAAATAAGAAAAAAAAAGTGAGGCCCTGAGTTCAAATCCCAATACCACTAATTCCACAGAAAAGGAAAAAAACTGCCATTGTTCATCTGGTTGCCTAAAACAGAAATCTCACATGCTTCAATTTTCTGTGTGTGTGTGTGTGTGTGTGTGTGTGTGTGTGTGTATGTGTGTGTGTGCCACAGCTCTACATCCAGCTCTTTCTTGTTAGAGATAAGAGTCTCATGGACTTTCCTGCCTTGGCTGGCTTTAAATAGTGATCCTCGGATCTCAGCCTCCTAAGTAGCTAGGATAAGAGGTGTGAACTACCAACGGCCAGATCTTTCAAGGTTTTAACCACCAGTTGGTCACTCTCCTGGGTTCTCACAGTATTATCACTAGTGCACACCCAGCCTAGGTGCTGGCCATCCATCCCTGACTCTTCCACTTCTCTCCATCTAGCTGTTCGCTGTCCAGCACCTGTCACCTTTGAGAACGGCGTGTACACCCCTCGGTTGGGGTCCTATCCTGTGGGTGGCAACCTGACCTTTGAATGTGAGGATGGCTTCACACTGCGGGGCTCACCTGTGCGCCACTGTCGTCCCAACGGCATGTGGGATGGAGAGACGGCTGTATGTGACAACGGAGGTGCGTGCTCTGAATGCTGGCTTGCTTGGGGTCTGGGGCTCCCAGGGAGCCTTGGAGCCAAGTTAGAGATGGGACCAGATTTGAGTAAATTGAGGTCTATGGATCACCAGTTGTTGGTGCTAAGGTACTGAGCTTCAATTGGACATGAAGTTTCCATATACTTATCTAGCTCCCTGTACTGGAGCTTGAACTCAGGACTTAGACCTTGTCCCTTAGATTTTTTGCTCAAGGCTAGTGCTCTACCACTTCAGTGGTAAGAGTCTCATAGTCAGGCGCTAGTGGCTCACACCTGTAATCCTAGTTATTTAGGAGGCTGAGATCTGAGGATCATGGTTCAAAGCCAGCCCAGGCAGGAAAGTCCATGAGACTCTTCTCTCCAATTAACCAACAGAAAACCAGAAGTGGCTCTGTGGCTCAACTGGTAGAGCACTAGTCTTGCTAGTATTATTTTTATGGCAGAGTAAGACTCCTTGGCTACCATCTACCCAGGGCTCTGGGGCAGACAGGATGAAGCCAAGTCAGGACTAGGAGGTTTCAGGGCTGGTGGAAATGATTGACTTCAGCTGGGTGCAGGTGGCTCACACCTGTCATCCTAGCTACTCAGGAGGCTGAAATCTGAGGATTGCAGTTTGAAGCCAATCTGAGCAGAAAAGTCCCCATGAGACTCTCTCTTTTTTTTTTTTTGGTCAGTCGTGGGGCTTGAACTCTGGGCTTGGGCACTGTCCTTGCGCTCTTTAGCTCAAGCCAAGCACTCTACCGCTTAAGCCACAGCGCCACTTCCAGTTTTCTAGTGGTTTATTGGAGGTAAGAGTCTCACAGACTTTCCTGCCCGGGCTGGATTTGAACGTGATCCTTATATCTCAGCCTCCAGAGTAGCTAGGATTACAGGCATGAGCCACTGGCACCCGGCTCCCATGAGACTCATATCTCCAATTAACTACTCAAAAACTGGAAGTGGCACTGTGGCTCAAGTGGTAGAGCATTAGCTTTGAGCACAAAGAGCCTCAGGAATAGCACCCAGGACCCAAGTTCAAGCCCCACAACTGACAAAAGAAAAAACAAAAAAAAGAAATGGCTGATTTCTGAGTTCTTTCATCCTATGGAAGGTTCTCCATCCATGCCCCAGCATCTTCTGAAGGATTCTGGTGACTCTGAGGGTCCAGAGAGGAGGAAGAGCCTGGGTGGGGGGGAGGGCAGAACGGGGCATGGTACCCTGCTCACCTCTGTCTTTTTGTTGTTGTCCACTTGTAGCTGACCACTGTCCCAACCCAGGCACTTCAGTAGGTGCAGTGAGGACGGGTTCCCGCTTTGACCTTGGGTACAAGGTCAGCTATCGCTGCTCCTCAAATCTGGTGCTGACGGGGTCTGCGGAGCGGGAGTGCCAGAGCAATGGGGTCTGGAGTGGGACAGAGCCCATCTGCCGCCGTGAGTAGCCATGCTGCCTGCTGCAGGAGACTCCGGGCACTCCCTGCAGCCTGGCTCTGGCTGATTGTCTTGTTTTGTGGCTTTTCCCACAGAGCCCTACTCCTATGACTTCCCAGAGGATGTGGCCCCCGCCCTGGGCACCTCCTTGTCTCATCTGCTTGGAGCCACTAATCCTAACCAGAAGAGGAAGGGTGAGTGCCCAGGGTTGGAGCAGGAAAGGCCAGGCCTGGGAGGAGCAGGGGAGAGTAGAAGCCTCCCTGGGAGGCTGCAGTGGGCTCAGTGACTGAAGGGCAGACCCAGAGTCTGGATACCCTTAGCCAGAACACAGGAAGAAGGGGTTCATCTGAATTCTCCCCAGAAAAATTGGCTCGTAGAATCCAAATCCAGCGTTCTGGTCACCTGAACCTCTACCTGCTTCTGGATGCCTCTCAGAGTGTGTCGGAAGAGAACTTTAAGATCTTCAGGGACAGTGCCTCCCTCATGGTGGACAGGGTGAGGATGATGGGGCTGCATGCCCAGGAGCCTGCCTGGCTCCCTCAGCTTCCCTCCTACGGCTCACTTCCTCCCAGAAGCCTTCCCAGATTTTATTCATGCCTTGCTGGGATCATGAATTCAATTCATCGAATTATGGTTTTCGTTTCCCACAGATACCTGCTGTGTGTCAGGCACTGTGCTAGGGGGCTGGGGAATACCAGAAATTCATCATCTAGAGAAAGCAAGTAGTCTCCACAAAGGGCAACAAGAGAATTCAAAGGGTGGGGATGGGGGAGTATAATGGCAGAAAGATACTGATACTCCTATTCAATGATTTCATTAGAATTGAATAAATAATTTAAAATGTATACCAAGCACGGGTGGCTCACACCTGTCATCTTAGCTACTGAGGAAGTTGCAATCTGAGGATTGCACTTCGAAGCCAACCCAGGCAGAAAAGTCCATGAGATAGTCTTATCTACAATTAACCAGCAAAAGTCAGAAGTAAAGCTATGGATCAAATGGTAGACTGTTTGTCTTGAGCAAAAAAGCTAAGGGAAGGCTGGGAAGGTGGCTCAGTGGTAGAATGCTCATCTTGCAGGCATGAGGCCCTGGGTTTGATTCCTCAGCACCACATAAGCAGAAAAAGCCAGAAGTGGTGCTGTGGCTCAAGTGGTGGAGTGTTAACCTTGAGCTGAAGAGCTGAGGGATAATGCCCAGGCCCAGAGTTCAGGCCCCACGACGGACCAAAAAAAAAAAAAAAAAAAAAAGCTAAGGGGACAGTGTTCAGGCCCCATGTTCAAGCCCCTAGTAGAGGTACGCGTGCGTGCGTGCGCATGCTCACGCACGCGCGTGCGCGCGCACACATACACACACACAGAATAGATGCTGAACAAATGTTACTTTCCTATTTTTTCTAGGCTGCAGTTTCTTAGAAAGTACCTTGCCCTATTGGTTCTCTGTCTCCTTTCTGGTTCTTTTACCACCTCCCACTTTGGTTGGGAGCCTCATGCTGCCTCTCACCTGCTCTCCTTCCCCAGATCTTCAGCTTTGACATCAATATCAACGTTGCCATCATCACGTTTGCCTCACGACCCAAAATCATCATGTCTGTCTTGAATGACAAATCTCAGGATATGACTGAAGTGGCCACTAGTCTGGAAAACTTGAACTATCAAGGTATGGCTGTCATCAGGGAGGATAATAGGAAGCTGAGCTTGGTGACCATAGACAGTAGCTTCCATGTTCAGCTCCCTCCTTCATGACTGACTGTAGCACTGCGAGTCCAAATACATAGTGCAGGTCTTCAGATTCATGCATATGCACAAACCACATGGTCTGCTTGTCACGGCTCAGCACTGTAGAATAAACATCATTAGGGCTGGGAAGGTGGCTCAATAGACATGAACTACTGGCACAGCACTCTTTTATTTATTTATTTTTGTACCCATCCTGGGGTTTGAACTCAGAGCCTGGGCACTGTCCCATAACTGTCTGGTTCAGGGCTAGTGCTGTACCAATTGAGCAATAGTCCCACTTCTGGCTTTTTGTTGATAGTTGGAGATAAGAGTCTCACTGACTTTCCTCCTGGGCTAGCTTTGAACTGTGATGTTCAGATCTCAGCCTCCTGAGTAGTTAGAACTACAAGCATGAGCTACTGGTGCTAGGCTTCCTTCCTTTCTTTTTTTTTTTTTTGTGCCAGTAGTAGAGCCTGGGTACTGTCTTCTATGTTTTTAACTTGCATTTTTCATGGGTTGGGAAGAGTAATTCCTGGTCCCCAGGTGGCAGGTGGGAGATCTCTGAGAGTTTTTTCTTTTGGTGTATTCCAGATCATGAAAATGGAACTGGGACCAACATCTATGAGGCCCTAAACAGTGTCTACATCATGATGAACAACCAAATGCAACGCCTGGGCATAGGAACAGTGGCCTGGCAGGAAATCCGACATGCCATCATCCTTCTGACTGACGGTGGGTAGTGGTAGGGTGTTCTCTAACAGTGGGGCTGGAATAATGGAAGGTGTATTAATACAGGGTCAGAAGTTCTGCATTCTGCTTCTCCCTCTGCCACTTTTCTCCTCTCTCTTGTTCAGCCTTCATAGAAAATATATTTCAAAGGAATGAGTTGAACAATAGTACAGTTGAACGAATATAAAATAAACTCATATCTGACTCTTGTTATACTTTACTTTTTTTTGGGGGGGTCCTGTCATGGGGCCTGAACTCTGGGCCTGGGTGCTGTACTTCAGCTCTTCAGCTAGTGCTCTACCACTTGAACCACAGCGCCACTTCCGGCTTTTTTTCTTTTTGCTTATGTGGTGCTGAGGAATTGAAACCAGGGCCTCATGCATGCAAGGCAAGCACTCTACCACTGAGCCACCTTCCCAGTCCTTAATTTTTTGGGGGGGTCGGTTGTGGGGCTTGAACCCTGGGCCTGGGCACTGTCCCTCAGCTCTTCAGCTCAAGGGAAGCACACTACCGCTTGAGCTACAGTGCCACTTCTGGTTTTCTGGTGGTTTTTGGAGATAAGAGTCTCTTGGACTTTTCCTGCCCAGGTTGGCTTTGAACCATGATTCTCAGACCTCAGCCTCCTGAGTAGCTAGGATTATAGGCATGAGCCACCAGCTCCTGGCTTCTTAATTTTTTTGTATTTATCACTGTATGAGATTTCTGTGTGTGTGTGTGTGTGTGTGTTTATGTACTTTTGTTATTATCAGAGTGAGGTTTGAACCCACACTGGTTTGGTTTGCTTGCTTGGCTAGTACTGTACAACCCAAGCCACACACCTCCAGAGTGTGTGTGTGTGTGTGTGTGTGTGTGTGTGTGTGTGCTGGTACTGAGGCTTGAACTCAGGGCCTAGGCATTGTCCTTTCTTTAATTTCTTCACTCAAGGCTAGCACTTTACCTCTAGGCACACCTCTACTTCTAGCTTTTTGGTGGTTAAATGGAGGTAAGAGTCTCATGGACTTTTCTGCTCAGGCTAGCTTTGAATCTTGATCTTCAGATCTCAGTCTCCTGAGTAGCTAGGATGACAGGTGTGAGCCACACGTGCCCAGCTCCAGTATCTTATTCATAAAGCAGAAATGGTGTTGAAATGATGACCATAATGATGGTGAGGTTATGTAAGCTGCTCCCCTTCCCTGCAGGATATTTACAGAGAACTACTTTAAGGGAGCTTACAGTTAGTTTGTTCAAGCCACCTGTGGTTAGGGCATGTTGGTTCCTTTGCTCCCTGGGAGGTCACATCCCACTAGATCTGGGAGATGCAGGTCCTTAGCAGGAGGTGAGGGGCATGAACCATGAACGGAAGCAGCTGCCTGTGGTGGATATGGCCACTGCCACTCACCCAAATGATATTGTTCCTCCAGGACTTTGTTTTCTCATCTATAAAATCAGATCAGATCTGAATATCCACACTTCCTGGGGTTTCATGAGAATTAAATGAGAAAATGGATGTGGGCCCCCTTGCTCATTGCTGGAATGTTTTTTTTTAAAAAAAGTAAATGGTATGTTTTGAAATGGTTTGGTTGAGGTTCTTCTGGGACTTTGTGGAATCCTGATATGTGCTCAGTGTCCAGTCCTTAGGCACTGCCCAAGCTTTTTTTTTTTTGCTCCAGATTAGTGTTCTACTGCTTGAGCTACAGCTCTACTCCCAGCTTTTAATTGGAGATAAGAGTTTCATGGACTTTCCTGCCCAGGTTAGCTTTGAACCATGATCCTTAGATCTCAGACCCCTGAGTAGCGAGAATTACAGGTATGAACCCCTGGTACCCAGCTCAGATGGTTAATTCTTTTCCTTCTCTGTTCTAGGAAAGTCCAACATAGGTGGTTCACCCAAACCAGCAATTGACAACATCATAGAATTACTGAAAATCAAGCCGGACAGGAACGACTACCTGGGTGAGGCTCTGTTCCCTACCCCGTCTGTGCTGTCCCAGGGGAGGGGGCACCGTGTTCTCAGTCAGGGGTCTCAGCACATCTTCAGCAGATTTTTGTTATTGTTGTTGTTCCCTTCTGGCTCTGGCCTTAGGTGCTGTCCTGAAGCTCCGTTTACTCAAAGCTAGTGCTCTACTATTTGAGCCACAGCACCTCTTCTGGCTTTTTCTGTGATTAGCTGGAGATAAGAGTCTCATGGACTTTCCTGCCCCGGTTGGCTTTGAGCCACCATGATCCTCAGATCTCAGTCTCTTTAGTAGCTAGGATTGCAGGCATAAGCCACAGGTGCCTCATTTTCTTCAACAGTTTTACATCTATTGTTCTATGTGGAATTGGCTGAGTGTGATAAGGAAGAGTCTAGAGTTAAACTTCCCATGGGCTGCACCTTGTTTTTATTCTTGGTGGGTTGGGTGGTGTTTCTTCCCGTGTGAGCTGGAAGCAGTGATAGGACCAGCCTCCTAGGCAGATAACTCAAGATGCTTAGAGAAAGGTTATCTGGCATGGAAAAACCACTAGTACCCAGCAGCCTCTGTGGCAATCATCACCTCAGCGTCCTCACCACCTTCTCATGTTTCAACAAACCTTCCAGGAAGAAGGGCTCAGCTTCCTTGTAAGGGCCTGTCCCCACTATTCCCCCTTTTGTAGTGTACATAGCTGATGAGGCCCCCACAGGTGTGGCCTCTGAAAAAGAACAACTCCACAGGTTCAGACTGCACTGACCTTTGACCAGGAAAAGATATCTATACCTATCTATCTATCTCTCTCTATATATAACCATCTATCTATTTGTCTGTTTGTCTATCTATATCTCATTAATGCTAGGCATAAGCTATACTTCAGAGAGAGACTTTCAGATAAGGAGGGAAGCTAATTTTCAGTCCCCAAAGGTCTTTGCATCCTCACTGCCCCATTTCTTTTCTTGTCAATCATGGGGCTGAACTCTGGGCCTGGGCGCTGTCCCTCAGCTCTTCAGCTTAAGGTGAGCGCTGTACCACTTGAGCCACAGCACCATTTCAGTTTTCTGGTGGTTTATTGGAGATAAGAGTCTCACAGACTTTCCTGCCTGGGCTGGCTTTGAACAGTGATCCTCAGACCTCAGCCTCCTGAGTATCGAGGATTACATGCCTGGCTTCCCCATTTCTTAGGGGTCAGATAATAATTCTTTAAAACTCACTGGGCCACTGGGCACCGGTGGCTCATGCCTGTAATCCTAGCTACTCAAGAGGCTGAGATCTGAAGATCACAGATCAAAGCCAGCCCAGGTTGAAAAGTTTGTCAGACTCTTATCGCCAATAAACCATTCAGAAAACTGAAGTGGCGCTGTGGCTCAAGTGGTAGAGCGCTAACTTTGAGCTGAAGAGCTGAGGGACAGTGCCCAGGCCAAGTTCAACCCCCACAACCAACAAACAGACAAACAAACAAACAAACCAAGGAAGATATAACTCAGTTCTTATCCCCTTCATCATTAGCATCTAAGCCAGGGTCAGTTGTAGAAGCAGAGGATGGAGGTGTGGCGCAAGTGATGTACCTAGAAGTAGCAGGCACAAAGCCTGAATTCAATCCCCAATATCACCAAAAAGAAAATAGTATAAAATAGAATAAAGGGTCTAAGGGCTAGCTCAGTGGTAGAGCATTTGCCTAGCATGCTTGCTGTGACTCTCAGCACTGCAGAATATATAAATGACTCATGCCTGTAATCCTAGTTACTCAGGAAGCTGAGATTTCAGGATTGATTTTGAGGCAGACAAATCCTTAAGGCTCATATCAATAAACCACAAAATGCTCTAAATGGAGAATAGCTCAAGTGGTAGAGTGTCAGGTTTAAGTGAAAAAGCTAAGCAAGAGACTGAGCCTCTGAGTTCAAGCCCTGGTACAGGATATAAACACACACACACACACACACACACACACACTACATGAACGAATATTCAAGAAACCAAACAAATGCTCTAAGAGACCTCACTAGAAATGACCCTTTTGGTACTCCTACTGTTCGGTGCTCCTATTGTTGTAGTTCACAGATCTGTGGACTACTTTAGGGGAGTTCTCCCCTGGCACCCATACTCTGAGGCCAGCATGTGCAAGTAGTATAATCAGAAGAGGCATTTTGGTTGTTTTGTTTTATTTTGTTTTTTTGTAGGTTGTAGGGCTTGAACTCTGGGCCTGGGCACTGTCCCTGAGCTCTTCAACTCAAGGCTAGCGCTCTACCACTTGAGCCATAGTACCACTTCCGGTTTTCTGGTGGTTTATTGGAGATAGGAATTTCACGGCCTTTCCTGCCCAGGCTGACTTTGAACCATGATCCTCAGATCTCAGCCTCCTGAGTAGCTAGGATTACAGGCGTGAGCCACTGGTGCCTAGCAGAGTTGTTTTTTGTTCCTATTTCTCAGACCATACTTTTGATGGTACTGGAACTTGAATTCAGGGCCTTGCACTCACGTGGCTTGCTCACAGCTGGCACTCTTAGCCCTTTAGCCATCCTCCAAGAGTTCAGCTTTTTACGAGTTAGTTGGAGATGGTGTCTCACCCCTGTAGCCCTAGCTACTCAGGAGGCTGAAATCTGGAGGTTTAGAGTTCAAAACCAGCCCAGGCAGAAAAGTCTGTGAGGCTTCTTTAAAATAATGGCTGGAAGTATGGCTTGAATGATAGGACGCAAGACTAATACGCACAAGGCCTTGAATTCCAGCCCCTGTTCTGTCAAAAAAAAAAAAAAGAAAACTTTTTTTTTTTTTGCCAGTTCTGGGACTTGACCTCAGGGCCTGGTCTGTGTCTCAAGATTCAAGGCTTATAGTGCTCTACCACTTGAGCCACAGCACCACTTCCAGCTTTTTCTGAGTAGTTTATTGGAGATAAAAATCTCATAAACGTTCCTGCCTGGCCTTGGCTTTAAACCATGATCCTTAGATCTCAGCCTCCTGAGTAGTTCAGGATTACAAGCTTGAGCCACCAGTGCCCGGCTAACCATGAAAACTTTTTGCAAGCCAGGCACCAGTGGAGATCTGAGGATGGTTCAAAGCCAGCTTAGGCAGGAAAGTCCATGAGACTCTTATCTTCAATTAATCACCCCCCCCAAAAAAAAAGCTGGAAGAGGGCCTGTGGCTCATGTGGTAGAGCACTTAGCATTGAGCTGAAAAAGCTCAGGGACAGCACTCAGGCCCTGAGTTCAAGCCTAGGACAGGCACATACACACACAATTAAAAACAAGCCAACTCTATTTTTACAGAGTTGAGAGTTGACCCCAAGGTCTCACACTTGCTAAGCAGGTACTCTACCAATGAGTCACACTGCTATCTCTCCTTCCCATTGTCTAATAATAGAAGATAGTGGATTAGGCTCACCCTAATCCAATCCAATATGACCTCATCTCTTGCTCAGCTTTTCACTTACTATTGACAGTCTACTCCTTAAGCTACCCCTTCTCCCCCACCCAGCTAATTGGAAATGGAGCTTTACAAATTTTACTGCTTAGGCTGGCTTCAGATCTCAGCCTTTTTCAAGTAGCTAGGATGACAGGTATGAGCCACTGGTACCCAGTCCTCACCTTAACTTGATTACATCAGCAACGATCTAATCAAAGTCATACTCACAAATCCTAGGGATTAGGATCTGGACAACATAATTCTACCCATTATAGGCAATACACAAGATAAATAAGGAAACCATAAAGCATGCAGGAGACAGGTGTCATGGAACATGAGATAAAGTAGAGCAGGGCCAGGTCTGTGGCATTGATGTTTTAGTCAAAGAAGAACTTACTGAGGTGACATTTGAGCCAAAGCTGCGAAAGTGAGCTACGTGGATCTTGGGGAGAGTCAATTAGGCAGAGAGAGGCACAGCTGGCCCCGAAGGCATGAGGTGGCCTGTGGTGGCAGCATGCCTGTGGATTGAGAAACCTCAAAAAGGCTGTTCAGGAAGGGCATGCTGTAAGCCGGGTGCTGGTGGCTCACGCCTGTAATCCTAGCTACTCAGGAGGCTGAGATCTGAGGATCGAGGTTCAAAGCCAGCCCGGGCAGGAGAGACTGTGAGACTCCTATCTCCAATAAACCACCAGAAAACCGGAAGTGGTGCTGTAGCTCAAGTCGTAGTGCGCTCGCCTTGAGCTGAAGAGCTGGAGGACAGCGCCCAGGCCCAGAGTTCAAGCCCTAAGACAGCCAAAAAAAAAAAAAAAAGGAAGGGCATAGTGTGTGCAGTGAAGTCAGACAGGTAGCAGGGATGAAGGAGGAAAGGGCACAGCTCATGGTTTGTTTGGTTTTTGCTGGTCCTGAGCCTCTCTGTGTTCAAGGATAGAACTCTACCACTTGAGCCAAAGCCCCAGGTCCAGCTTTTTCTGTTTATGTGGTAACTGAGGATTTGAACCCAGGGCTTCATGCATGCTAGGCAAGCACTCTACCACTAAGCCACATTCCCAGCCACCTCATGTGGGTTTTTATTGGCGCTGCTTCCAAGTTGGAACAGCCACTCAGACACAGGATTCTGGTGAGTACCCTTGTCTCCATCAGACATCTATGCCATTGGAGTGGGAAAGCTGGATGTGGACTGGAAAGAACTGAATGAACTGGGGTCTAAGAAGGATGGCGAGAGACATGCCTTCATCCTGCAGGACACACAGGCTTTGCAGCAGGTCTTTGAGCACATGCTAGGTGAGTGAGCTTCGCCCTCCCTGCAGCGGGGTGGTGGTGAGGGAGCAGCCAGGGTCTCAGGAGACACAGTACTCCTCCTATGCCTTCTTCTCCATCTGATCTTCACACCCACAGATGTCTCCAAGCTTACAGACACCATCTGTGGGGTGGGGAATATGTCAGCCAATGCCTCTGACCAGGAGAGGACACCCTGGCATGTCACTTTTAAGGTAAAAGGAAGGGAGGTGGGGCTTGGATCCCAGAGGTGAAAGCAGACATGGGCCAGCCCTTGATTATGGCCTGTTGCCTGCAGCCTAAGCACCAGGAAACCTGCCGGGGGACGCTCATCTCTGACCAGTGGGTCCTGACAGCAGCTCACTGCTTCCACCAAGCTGCCAACAGTTCCTTTTGGAGGGTCAATGTGGGTAAGACAAGGGGCTGTACTAGACTCCAGACCCTGAGGCTAGAACTCTTCCTACCTGGCTCTGGCCCTTTCACGAGTGCTGATCCAGCCTAATTCACCATATTGTTGCAGGCGATCCAAACTCCCAATGGGGCAAAGAATTCCTTGTGGAGAAGGCAATAATCCCCCCGGGGTTTGATGCCCATGCAAAGAAGGAGCAGGGAATCCTGGAGTTCTATGGTGATGACATCGCCCTGCTGAAGCTGGCCCAGAGAGTGAAGATGTCTAGCCATGCCAGGTGTCCGAGTGTGGGATGGGAAAATGTCCTGCACACTGAAGTACTCTGGTCAGGTACAGAGGGGATACCGAGGCTGAGCCTGTGTGACACCCACTCTTCTCCTCAGGCCCATCTGCCTCCCCTGCACTATGGAGGCCAATATGGCCTTGCGGAAGCCCCAAGGCAGCACTTGTCAAGACCACGGTGAGTGATGGGCTGCTGAAGAGCTGGGAGCAGGGTGTGTGTGTGTGTGTGTGTGTGTGTGTGTGTGGTGCCAGTACTTGAACTCAAGGGCTAGGCACTGTCCCTTAGCCTTTTGTTGTTGTTGATCATGGGGCTTGAACTCTGGGCCTGGGTGCTGTCCCTGAGCTCTTCAGCTCAAGGCTAGCATTCTACCGCTTGAGCCACAGTGCCACTTCTAGTTTTCTGGTGGTTAATTGGAGATAAGAGTCTCATGGACTTTCCTATTTGGACTGGCTTTGAACCAAGATCCTCAGATCTCAGCCTCCTGAGTAGCTAGAGTTATAGGCATGAGCCACCAGCGCCTGGCTCCCTTAGCTTTTTTCACTCAAGTTTGACACTCTACTATTTGAGCCACACAGCTCCACTTCTGGCTTTTGAATTGGAAATAAGTAGCTCTTGGATTTTCCTGTCTGGGTTGGATCTCTATGTTCAGATCTCAGCATCCTCAGATTAGCTTAGTTTACACGTGTGAGCAACTGGTTCTAAGCTTGTTAACAGGAGCTGGGAAGCAGTCCCCAAGCCAGATGACTGGATTCTAAGTAAAGGGATCTGCGCTGACATCCCTTTCTCCTTGATGGCAGAGAAAGAACTTCTGAACCAGCAGAGCATTCCTGCCCATTTTGTGGCCCTGAATGGGAACAAGTTGAACATTAACCTCAAGACAGGGAAACAGGTGAGGAACCCTGAAATAACCTGGAGGCAACCTCCAAAATATTGTTCTTCATCCTCTGGCTCTGGCTACTTTCTCCTTTTTTTTTTTTTGGTTGGTGGTGGGGCTTGAACTCTGAGCCTGGGCACTGTCCCTGAGCTCTTCAGCTCAAGACGAGAGCTCTACCACTTGAGCTACAGCACCACTTCCATTTTTTTCTGGTGGTTTATTGGAGATAAGAGTCTCATGGACTTTCCTGCCCAGGCTGACTTTGAACCAAGATCCTCAGATCTCAACCTCCTGACTAGCTAGGATTACAGGTGTGAGCCACCAGCTCCTGGCCTACTTTCTCCTTCTGACTCAAGTCCCACCTCCTCCCAGGCCTAGCCAGTCAACCAACTGTTATCTGGGTTGTTCATTCTACTCTTCTCTCCCTTTCCACCCCCTGCAGAGGACAAGCTGTATCCAGGTAGTCTCTCAAGACAAAAAAACCTTCCCGAACTTGACAGATGTTACACAGGTGGTGACAGATCAGTTCCTGTGCAGTGGGATGCCGGGAGATGCCAATATCTGCAAAGGTGTGTGTTCATGGCTGGATTTCCACGGGTGAAGGCCACTGTGTTCCTAAGGCCAGCATGTCAGGACACCAGTGTTCTGCCCTGGGTAACACTACCTCTTGTTACTCTTTACCTATAGGAGAATCTGGGGGAGCAGTTTTCCTTGAGCGGAGATTCAGGTTTTTTCAGGTGAGAAGGAGGGAGCTACAAGAGTGAATCTCCATCTGGTTGAGGACATAAGGATGCTGTGTGTGTGTGTGTGTGTGTGTGTATACGTGTATGTGTGCATGTGCGTGTATGTGTACTGGGCTTGAACTCAGGGCTTGGGTGTTGTCCATCAACGTTTTCATTCTAGGCTAGCAATCTACCACTTGAATCAGCTCCTCTTCTGGCTTTTTGCTGGTTCATTGGAGATAAGAGTCTCATGAACTTTCCTGCCCTAGCTAGCTTCAAACCACCCTTCTCAGATCTCAAGTCTCCTGTGTAGTTAGAATTACAAGCGTGAGCTACCTGTGCCTGGACTTTGAAGGAACCAGGGAGGTTGGGATCAGGGACTTCTGCAACCTGCCAACCCATTCTGTTTCTTCCAGGTGGGTGTAGTGAGCTGGGGTCTTTACAACCCCTGTTCTGGCACTACCAATAAAAACACCCGCAAAAAGGCTCCCCCTGGTGTCCCACCACCCAGAGACTTCCACATCAATCTCTTCCGCCTGCAGCCCTGGCTGAGAGAGCACCTGGAAGGTGTCCTGAACTTTTTGCCTCTCTGATTATGACCCCTGTGCTGTCCTGTCAGGATCTGCCATCTTTCCTACCTCTGAACATTCACCTCAGACACTGTGACCCATCCCCACTCCTAGCTGCATAAATCCTGGGTTCTAGGAGCCCAGGTTCAGTGCACACAAGCTGGGGAAACCCCAGAGCTGGTGTCAGCATGGCTGGCTGCCTGGCTGCCCTCCCCCTTAAGCCTTCCTTACCTCTGCTTTGCTCCCATCCCTCCCTCCTACCCTTTGTACTCGATTTGTACATGGAATTTCCCAGTTATGAAATTAATAAAACCCAACGATTTCCACATTTGTCTGTGCCTCTGCCTGGGAGTGGGGGATGGGATAGGGAGGCCGGAATGATTCCAGGAAGGTCACGGACCCTGCTGGACAAACAGCTGCTGGACTCTGCCCCAGAACACAGCCTGTAGGTGAGTGAGCTGGGGGCCTAATCGGGATCTTTAAGGGGGATTGTCAGGGAGGGAGTCGAAGAAGGAAGGGAATTGAATGGGAGAGTTCCAGACTCTGGGCAGCAAAGGGTGGGGCTTGTACAGTTTCTGTTTCTAGGGTTGGCAGCTCAGTGGGTCTCTCCTGCTTGATTGTTCCGGGAAAGTGTGTATGGCAGGCCGGCCAGGCTACAGGTGCCAGAATGGATTGCATAAAAGGCTGGGGGCTGGTGGAGAAGAGAGTGTGCCGTCAGGCCAAGATCTGGGATTTCCATTTGGGTTCTGAAACTGGAGAAGTGCTTCTGACCGCAGCCTGAGCCTCTCTTCTGCCTTCTAGCAGCATGGGGCACAATCCCAGCTCCCAACTCTGGCTTGTGTCCTTATTCTTAGCCTTCTCGTGTGGAGGTAAGCAAGGGTCACGTGTACCTCATCCTTGTTGCTACCCCTTGCATCTCTCTTGGTTTTGTAGGGCCAGGCTTCATCTGTTTTCCTCTCCAGGTGTGAGTACAACTCCATCACCTGTGGATCAGGCCCAAAGTTCCTGTTCTCTGGAGGGGGTAGAGATCAAAGGTGGCTCATTCCAACTTCTTCAGGAGGGGCAGACCCTTGAATACCTGTGCCCCTCTGGCTTCTACCCGTACCCCGTGCAGACTCGCACATGCAAAGCCACAGGCTCCTGGAGTACCCTGAAGACCCGAGACCAAAAGATTGTCAAGAAGGCAGAGTGCAGAGGTTTGTGACGGGAAGGGGAAGGAGTAGGGTGGCTACAGAGCAGGTACAGAGCTGCTTAGGGTAAGTTTAATTTTCAGCTGCGTTGAGAACAGCAGGTTGGGCTGAACAAGAGTAGAAGTACTCGGAATACCAGTGGCTCACACCTGTCATCCTAGCTACTCAAGAGGCTGGGATCTGAGGGTCATGGTTCAAAGGCAGCCCTGGCAGCAAAGTCCATGAGACTCTTATCTCCAATTAACTACCAGGAAACTGGAAGTGGCGATGTAGCTACAAGTGGTAGAGTGTTAGCCTTGAGCAAAAGAGCTCAGGGACCGGGCCTAGGCCCTGAGTTCAAGCCTCACAACCAACAACAACAAAACAAATTAAAAAAAACACAGTAGAATCACTTCTTGGGGTTCAGGTGGGAAAGGGGAGAGTTAGGGGAGCTCACCTTCTCTAAGCAATTGCCTGTGAAGCAGCCCTGAAGTAAAGAGACTGCTCAGAGATGAGGAGGGAGGAGCAGCCATGGGTTAGACTAGGAAGGTCCTGTTTCTAAGTGACAAGGAGGAACACATTGAAGATTACCTTTCCCTCTCAGTGACTTCTACTTTTGCCTCCAAGCAATTCGCTGTCCAAGACCACAGGACTTTGAGAATGGGGAGTACTGGCCTCGGTCTCCCTACTACAACTTGAGTGATGAGATCTCTTTCCACTGCTACCCTGGTTACACACTCCGGGGCTCTGCCAACCGCACCTGTCAAGCCAATGGCCGGTGGGATGGGCAAACAGCCATTTGTGATGATGGAGGTAAGAAGCATGTCTGCCACTGATGGTGGCCTTATCTTTCTTTGATGGCACTGATGGTGGCCTTATCTTTCTTTGATGGCAGTCTGAGGAATCGGCACAATAACTTTTCTCTGACTTGCCCTCTGAGCCTCACACTTGCATTCACCTCTGTGTTCTGTCCCTCTGCAGCGGCATACTGCCCCAACCCGGGCATCCCTATTGGAACAAGGAAGGTGGGAAGTCAGTATCGCCTTGAAGACAGTGTCACCTATTACTGCAGTCGGGGACTTACCCTGCGTGGCTCCCAGCAACGGATATGCCAGGAGGGTGGCTCTTGGAGTGGTACAGAGCCTTCCTGCCGAGGTGACTTTTGGCCTGATTCCTGGTCTGAATGTGTCCCTCAGTAGAGCACTGTTTTACCTACCCCCAACTTCTCCAAGTCTTTTCTTCTTTCCACCTTGGGAATCAGTCCATCTCTCTAGTCACTGATTATTAATTTTTTTTAAACCAGTCCTGGGGCTTGAAATCAGGACTTGGGCACTGTCCCTGAGCTTCTTTGCTCAAGGCTAGCACTCTACCACTTGAGCCACAGTGCTGCTTCTGGCTTTTTCTGTGTATGTGGTACTGAGGAATGGAACCCAGGACTTCATGCATGCTAGCCAAGCACTCTAAGACACATTCCTAGCCCTAGTCACTTTTTTTTAAAACACTCCAAACACTTGACCTAGTTTCTGATCTTTCCCAGACTCCTTCATGTATGACACCCCCGAAGAGGTAGCTGAAGCCTTCTTGTCCTCCCTGACAGAGACCATAGAAGGAGTTGATGCCGAGGATGGACATAGACCAGGTTTGAGGGCAGAAAGGGAAGTCAGGGTGGGGGTTTGGGGGAGGAGAGAGAAGGGGAAGGGCCACCATGTATGCTGGACTCTGAGACTCTCTGCTGGCACACAGGGGAACAACAGAAGCGGAAGATTGTCCTGGACCCCTCAGGCTCCATGAACATCTACCTGGTGCTAGATGGATCAGATAGCATTGGTGCCAGCAACTTCACAGGGGCCAAGAAGTGTCTCACCAATTTGATAGAGAAGGTAGAGTTCCCGTCCCCTTCAATGGGGGCCCCTGACTGGGCTTCTTTGCACTTCCAAGACTGGCTCCTCTGTGCTTCTTGCACCCTCTGACCCACAGGGTTCCAGAAAGCCTCAGGTCTTACTCTGTCCTCTTTCCCCTTTTATGTGATGTAGTAGCCTGATGCTTAACAAAGGTGCCTCTTCAAACTTCAGCCTTTGAGCCTCTTATTATGGCCTTCTCTGTCTCAGCAAACATGCTAAATTTGCCCAATCATGGTATTGTGCTTTCAAATGCATAACCCCTTGCTCCTCTAACCCACAGGTGGCAAGTTATGGAGTGAGGCCAAGATATGCTCTAGTGACATATGCCACAGCTCCTAAAATCGTGGTCAAAGTGTCTGATGAAAAGAGCAGTGATGCCGATTGGGTAACAGAACAGCTCAACAAAATCAGTTATGAAGGTTAGAGGTTAGGGAAGGGAAGATGGGAGGTTCACTTTGGGATAAGAGATCAGAAGGCTCTGAGGTGTGTATGTGTGTGTGTGTGTGTGCATATGTGCATGCACGCACACACACATGCGCACATACATGTGTGACAGAGGGTAGAGAGGTATGTTGAGTGAAGCAGTATCCTGATATTTAACAGCCTCCTGCTTTAATTTCATCCTTTGAGCATTTTACTATGGCCAACCCTGACCCATCAGGATTGCTTTGTAGCTAAAGGTTGGAAAAGGGGTTATCAGGCAATGAAGTTGGGGGCTCTGAGGGCCTTTTTGTGGTAAAAGGGAAGTTAGTAGGTGACAACTCCACAAAGTTGAAAAAGATGTGGGGTCTCAGCGGTGACAGAACTCCAGGGCTCAAGACAAGGTGAGGTGATGCCCTCTTTCCTCTCCCACAGACCACAAGTTGAAGTCAGGAACTAACACCAAGAGGGCTCTTCAGACAGTATACAGCATGATGAGCTGGGCAGGGGACGTCCCCCCGGAAGGCTGGAATCGCACCCGCCATGTCATCATCCTCATGACTGATGGTCAGAAAGGACCTTTTCCCTACCCCAGCCTCCAAGCCTACATGTAACACTAGACTATGATGGGGCCCTGAATATAGCTCACGGATGGCTACTGAGCTTTCCTGTGATAGAGGACCATTATAGGGGACCATTCTCCCCAAGGCTGTGGTTTGTCATCTCTATCCCACTGTTAACCTGTTCCCCTAGCCATGTGCCACTGCCTCCAGCCAATTTATCAACTTAGATCCTCATCCTCACCTCCCACTTTTATATTTTTATGGTCCCTATCTTTTCTGCAGGCTTGCATAACATGGGTGGGGACCCAGTCACTGTCATTGATGAGATCCGGAGTTGGTTGGACATTGGCAGGGATCGCAAAAATCCCAGGGAGGATTATTTGGGTAAGTGACTTGCCTAGGACCTAGCACTGATTTTTTTTTTTTTTTTTTTTTTTTGCTGGTCCTGAGGCTTGAGCTTAGGGCCTGGGCTCTGTCCCTGAGCCTCTCTGTGTTCAAGGTGAGCACTCTACCATTTGAGCTACAGCACCACTTCTGGCTTTTCTGTTTACGTGATACTAAGGAATCAAACCCAGGGAGGGCTTTATGCAAGCTAGGCAAGCATTCTACTGCTAAGCTATATTCCCAGCCCCAGCACCCTGATTTTTCAAGGCCTTGACCTTCAACCTTTTTTCTTCTTCAGATGTATATGTGTTTGGAGTCGGGCCTCTGGTGGACCAAGACAACATCAATGCTTTGGCTTCCAAGAAAGAGAATGAACAACATGTGTTCAGAGTCAAGGATATGGAAAACCTGGAAGATGTTTTCTACCAAATGATTGGTAGGAAAATACAAGAGTATAAGACCATCAGGAAATTAGGCTCTTCCCAGGATCCCCTGAAGTTACTAATTTCCCTCTACCTCTCATCACAATTTGGAAGGCCTTAGTTCTTCTTGTTGTTTTTTAGTTTTTGTTTTTGCTGGTCATGGGGCCTGAACTCAGGGCCTGGGTGCTGTCCCTCAGCTCTTCAGCTCAAGGCTAACACTCTACCACTTGAGCTACAACACCACTTCTGGCTTTTTCTGTTTATGTGGTACTGAGGAATCAAACCTAGGGCCTCATGCACGTAAGGCAAGCTCTCTACCACTGAGCCACCTTCCAAGCCCTCCTTGTCTATCTTAACATCACTATTCTTGTTTCCTGGCACTGTCCATTTCCTGACCTTAGAATCACAGAACTCTGGGTAACCTCAGAGGTTTTTTAGTACATTTTATAGATGTGGAAAGTGAGGCCAAAAGAGGCCCAGTAAGCTATTGAAAGTTGGTTCTGAAAATATCTAGGTTTCTGATCGTAGTCCCAAGTTCTTTCCATCACACCAGAATGGCCCTTTGTCCCCTACATAAGGAATCAAATGTTCCCAGACCTTTCCCTCTGTGTAGGCCTTTGCTCCCCAGGGACATGCAGATTCCTCCAGAAGTGACTGCTGCCAGTTGAGAATGAAGGATCCTCAGCCTTCAACACATTCTCCTTTTCTGCAGATGAAACCAAGTCACTGGGTCTCTGTGGCATGGTTTGGGAGCATAGGAAGGGTACCGATTACCACAAACAGCCATGGCAGGCCAAGATCTCAGTCACCGTAAGTGCACCATTCTAGCAGTGAGGACTTGTGAGAGTTGAAAGGCAAAATGTTCACATCAGACTGGCTTGTGAAGGTTGAACTTCCTCTCCTATTGTCTATTCCCAGCGTCCTCTCAAGGGACATGAAAACTGTATGGGGGCTGTGGTGTCTGAGTACTTTGTGTTGACTGCAGCACACTGTTTCACCGTGGATGATGAGAAACATTCAATCAAGGTCAGCGTAGGTAAGAATGCACCAGATGGATTCTGAACTCCAGGCAACACCTTCCCTTCCTCAGCATCCAACACTCTACCTGACCTCACTTGTAGCTCTTGCCTCCTGGATAGGGAAGAAGAAAAGTCATAGGGCCAGAGGCAGCCCACAAAGTGGTACCTATTGTTTTCTCTCCTCAGGAGGAAGGAAGCGAGATCTAGAGGTAGAAGAAGTCCTATTTCATCCCAACTACAACATCAATGGGAAGACGGCACAAGGAATTCCTGAGTTTTATGACTATGATGTGGCCCTGATTAAGCTCAAGAAAAGGTTGACATATGACCAGACTGTCAGGTGAGAGCACTTAGGTTCCTGAGAAAAGACTGGAGGACTAGGTAGTACAGACAGGCCATTCACTGCTCTGACTGTTCCCATCTCCAACAGGCCCATCTGCCTCCCCTGCACGGAAGGAACAACTCGAGCTTTGCGGCTTCCTCAGACAGCCACCTGCCAGCAACACAGTAAGGCGTATTCTGGATGGGACAAGGATGAGATTCCAGGAGACAAGTGGGGCATGAGGGAGCTGCAGTAGGAGCAGATACCGCCCAGCTTATTGCCTAGTATAGGAAGGGCTGGAAGGACATCTACCAGGTGACAGAGGCAATGGGGGAGATGGTACTGGGGGCAGCTGGAGTGATCCAGTCTATTTGTTCAGAGGAAGAGCTGCTCCCTGCAAAGGATATCAAAGCTCTGTTTGTGTCTGAAGAAGAGAAGAAACTGACTCGGAAGCATGTTTTTATCAAGAATGGAGATAAGGTGAGGAATTGGGGGAGGAGAGGATTCTAAGCTGCTCTAGGCCTGTCTTTCCTAAGCCAGCTCTATCATCTTTCTCTCCCATGCTTCCCACCTACCCTACAGAAAGCCAGCTGTGAGAGAGATGCCCAAAATGCTCCAGGCTATGACAAAGTCAAGGACATTTCTGAGGTGGTCACTCCCAGGTTCCTCTGTACTGGAGGGGTGGACCCCTATGCGGACCCCAATACTTGCAGAGGTAAGAGGCAGTTTTTTGGCTATGCTCTAAATTCCTGAAGCCCAAGTTTTTTTTTTTTTCTTTCTCCTACAGCATCTCTTTTCCACAGGTGACTCTGGTGGCCCTCTGATTATTCATAAGAGGAGTCGTTTCATTCAAGTAAGTGCCCATTTCTTATCTGTAGGGAGATGCCAAGTGGCCAGGATGGCCCCCAAAGCAGGAAAGCAAACTCAATGCATATGGCTGGTAAAAGGAGGGTAGAGGCTGCCTCATCTTAGGGCTATTGCTTGAAATGGGAGTGTTGGGCCATGTGTCTGGTGTGTGTGCCAAGGATAAAGTTTAGCTGGGCTCCTTTAGGTCAGCTTAGATGTAAATGAGAATAGCCATGCTTTCTGGCATTAGGAAGAACTCCACCAAATGATCCATGGCATCTCCTCACTTTGGCAGGTTGGTGTGATCAGCTGGGGAGTGGTGGATGTCTGCAAACACCAGAAAAAGCAGGTACCTGCTCATGCCCGAGACTTTCACGTCAACCTCTTCCAAGTGCTTCCCTGGCTCAAGGAGAAACTCAAAGATGAAGATTTGGGTTTCTTATAATGGGCTTCCTGATGAAAGAGGGCATGGGAAAATTAAAACAGCTGTGATAATAACTGTGTTCCAGCTCCTTTTGGTATAAAGAAATGGGGGATGTGCATTGGCCATCTTGTTAAACAACTGAGATGAAACCTGACAGCTGTTTTTGAAAGGCCTAACCCCAATCCCAAGTGCTGAAAAACCAGAGGCTGAAGGAAGATGTGCAAGCTTCCAGCTCAGTGTTTTACTGAGGCCAGCATTGGGGGCATAGGAGGCACAAGGAATCCAGCTTCGTTTTCTAGAAGCCATCTACAAGGTTTTCCTTATAGACATCATCACTGTAGACAATCTGGGTCCTCTTGTCTCGGTGGCAACCATTAGGGCTGTTCTGGACAGCTAGGGAAGGAGGAGAGCAACAGTTAGGTCTGAAAGAGATCATGGGTCAAACCTGAGGCCCACAGCCTCACTACTTCACTCCTGGCAGCCAGTTTTCATGCTGCCCTCTGCTGGCCAGGATGGCCTGTGGTGACCAGTGATAGTCAACCCAATCATCATGGAGTGTGGATATTATTATGGCACATGTAGATATGATGGATGTTTTGTTCTTAGAAAATCCCAACATGTTTTCATAGCTGAAACGTGAATGATGTTAAACTACTGCTTTTGGTCAGTACATCAAAAATTAAAGATTAGAAACTCTGTAGCCTTTTGTTGATATACTTGATATACTGGTCAATTCTGGTGTCTACAGTGTCTTGCTCTGAATCCTTCTGTTTACTCCTTTTCCAGGAGAATCTATTTTCAGGTGAGGTGGGTTATTCACACTGAGAGATGCTTCTAGCCCCACTAGAACTTCTCATGGGATAGCTTTGGTGCGCAGTGTCCTTGCTCTAACACACCGCTTCCCCTGGCTTCTTTCTTTCCTCCATAAGACATGGCCCTCACCATCTTCACTACTCTGGGGCCAGAATGAATCTGTCCCACCTTCCATTCCCTTTGGTCTGTACCTTGTCACTACTGACCATCCCTTTTTCTCAAAGCTGTGTCCTCTGACTTCACTGGCCCAGGGCCTCTGGTGCCTGCTCCCAGCCCTCAGACTATGCTCCCATCTCCTTTGCTGCAACTTCAACTTCTGCCCAACAATGTCAGGATTTCTGGAGACATGTAGAGCACAAGAAAGGAGTTCCTATTATATTCTATTCCCCAAACCAGTCCTGGGTTATTTTTCCTAAAAGCAATCTACCTGATGATTCTGTTATTTTTTAGCCATTCAATGATACAGATGAGTCTAATTCACATTTCTCATATTACACTTCAGTTCCTCAGGCTATATTTCAAATACTATATATATATATATATTTTTTTTTTTTTTTGGTTGGTTGTGGGGCTTGAACTCTGGGCTTGGGCACTGTCTCTGAGCTCTTCAGCTCAAGACAAATGCTCTACCACTTGAGCCACAGCACCATTTCCGGTTTTCTGGTGGTTTTCTGGAGTTATAAGAGTCTCATGAACTTTCCTGCCCAGGCTGGCTTTGAACTGTGATCCTCAGATCTCAGCCTCCTGAGTAGCTAGCATTATAGGCATGAACCACTGGCGCCCAGCAGCAATTTCAAATTCTTGCAAAACATACTGTACGCCCCCTCAGAGCAAACATGCTGCACAGATGCTCTTGAGGGAGAGAAGACTCTAGCTTCCATTTTCCCTCCCTGTTCCAGCCACTACTTGAGGAGTCATTTTTAATAAATCCTGACCTCTATTCCCTCTAAGAAAACCCTGGGGCTATGCAGAGGAACCAAAAAGGGTAGACTGTGAGGGAGGGGATGAGCAAAGGAGACTCCCGTTCTTACCGAGGGAGCCCCAGACAGACTTGCCAGTTGCGGCATCCAGCATGGGCTGTTTGCGGGCAATGTTCACTTTGAGCTGCACAGATTCCACCTGGGTTCCATTGAGCTGGAGCAGAAGAGGAGAGGGGACAAAGGAGAGGGGATGGGCATTAGACAACCGTAAGAGTTATTCCATGGGTTGCTACCCTACAAATAGACTGAATAGGGATTTGAGAATGTATGTTTTTCTGTGTGACTAGAAAGAGACCTTGTCATGAGGAATTCCCTCCTGACAAGTATTTTGAGAAAACATGAGGCTGGCAGAAGGAATGGAAAGAACAGGTCTGGGGAGTCCCAACCTCAGCAACGGCCTGATCTGCAGACTCCATCTTTTCATAGGTGACGAAGGCACAGCTGAAAAGAGAAAACAGGGTTAGGAAAGGGCCTATGGGACTCCCCCGGGTCAAGCACACAGGCTGCCGGAGATACAGTGGCTTCCTCCCACAGGTCTACACATCCTAGGCTTCATCTAGAACTTTGATCATGCCCTGTTGTCATCCTTACTTTCTGGGTGGGTCCATGGAGAGGTCAATGATGTTTCCAAAGGGAGAGAAGGCCCCACGAAGGAGAGTGGGTGTCATGTCTTCTCCGTACACGTAAAGAGTGTTCCCCTTCCGAGGGGCCCGGCGTTCAGGGAACGAGTCTGACCCTATGGGTCAGGAGTCACAGTCACAAAACAGTCTGTCTCAGCCTCCACCTTAGCACATCTTACTTAAACCCGGCTGAAGTTTCCTTCCCCACCAGCCACGGTCACTTACTGCGGAAAGGGCCCTCTCGGTCTCGATCCCGGTCCCGATCCCGGTCCCGGTCCCGATCCCGGTCCCGGTCTCTGTCCCGGTCCCGGTCTCGGTCCCGATCTCGATCCCTGTCTCGATCTCGATCTTTGTCCCGATCCCTATCCCGTTCCTGGTCTCTGTCCCGATCCCGGTCCCGGTCCCAGTCTTTGTCTCGATCCCGATCTCTGTCTTTGTCCCTGTTTCTCTCATGACTGCGGTCCCGGCTGCGGCTTCGGGGAGGGGAGGCTGAGGAGCGGGAACCACCCCGTTCTTCATAGCCCCAGTCAAAGCTTCGAGGAGGGCCATCACCGGTTCCTGGGCCCTCTGCTTCTTCTCCATCTGGCCCCAATTCTCGAAGCCGATCACTAGAAGACACAAAGCTGAGGAGAAGCAGAAAGCAAGGTTAAAAGGGTCCTTTATCTTTTTCTCTTAGACCCTGTTGGAGACTCAACAAACACTACTTCTATAATTAGCTCCTTCCACTCTACCCCAAACCTCCCTTAAAATCAGACAAATGATGCCCACACCAAGAGGGACCCAGTTTTAACTCTCTAACCTCTCATACAAAGATTTCCTCTGTGGACGTCTAGATGACTGAAAAAGAGACCAAGAACAGTTAAGGTGATATCCAAGTATGTGGGTTTCTTGTCTTCCTCAATGCCCAGGCCCACAGGTTGAGAACTGGGAACCAGTACCTCCTGTAGGTCGTCATCAGCAGATATGCTCCTCTGGAATGGCTGGAAAGTGGGGACAGGTCCCTTCTCAGGGTCCTGGAGAAGAAACACATGTGAGTGGGTGGCGTTGGATTTGAAGGCTGTCCTTTCATAAGGTGGATGGCTCCTCTTCTTTTTCAGGGTCTCTTTCTAACTTGTTCTCTTTTTTAATCCTAATATAGTCCTTATGTGATTATGTATTGCTTTTAAATAAGTGCCCTAATATTCATGTAAAGTGCTTAGTTTGTCTAAACCTCTCTGAACCCAATGACATTTTTTTTTTTGGTCAGTTGTGGGCTTGAACTCTGGGTTGGGCACTGTCCCTGCGCTCTTCAGCTCAAGGCCAGTGCTCTACCACTTGAGCCACAGCACCACTTTTATGCCCAGGCTGGCTTTGAACCTGGATTCTCAGATCTCAGCCTCCTGAGTAGCTAGGATTACAGGTGTGAGCCACCGGGCCGTCCCCGATGACATTTGTAAGCTGCTCTTGAAGTAACATATTCTGAGTTCTAACCCAAGGTAGATTAGAATATGTAAATATGGAGAATATATACAATGGAAAAGAGTGTAGGAAATCACCTAGACTTTCCATCTTTTTAGATAAGAAACCTAAAGTTCTAGGCAGGTGTGGTGTAGTCCTAGATATTTCTAAGGTTGAGTTAAGTGGACCCCTGATCCCATGAGCTAGATACTAGCCTGAGCATCATAGTGAGAACCCATTTTAATACAAAACAACGCTTCTAACACAACCAAACAAAAGCAAAAACAAAAAAAATCCAAAGATCACACAGAAAACCCTAAAGCTCAGAAGGGTACAGCATTTTTCTCATGTCTAAAGATGATTTTTTACCCCCTTTAAATCACTTCTCTTCTAACTTGGAGAGTTGCCCTCTGATAGTATGGGTCCCTGAACAATCCTACTTGTGCTTACCTTTAACTTCCCCTCTAGGGTTCGAGAGCGTTTGAAGCCTGAGTTCTTGGTCTCGGCTTTGATGGCACTGATGGCTCCTGACTTCACCAGCTGTTTTGCCTGCTCTGTTGCTGTGGCTGTGTCCACCACAGGCTGCTCTGAAAGTGCTGGAATAGTGGAGTGGTGAGGGAAAGAGACATTTTATTGGCTGTGGTAGAGGTCAGCTCCATTGCACCCATTTTTCCACCCTCTCCATTTCCCATCACTCACAGCGTTTGACGCCACCTTGGCTGGCTGTGCTGCTGCTACTTTGCTTCTTCAGCGCCAGCAATGCCTTTTTCTGAGAGTGAGGATGAGAAGAGAAGTCAGTGTGGGTCAGTCCCTGGCTATGCCCACTCCCAATATCTCTGGGTACATCACTTCAGAGACGGTTTTCTTGGAGGTAACAAAGCAAATGGTACTCCTGGGGAAGTGCAAGGAGGCAGCCCTGCTTTTGCCATCTGGTCCCCCATATCATCTATAATGCCAGCAATATTTAACTACCCAAACTATGGTATCTAGAGGCTTTCAAGAGAACTACACTTTACAAGTAGAACAAAATAAAGCATGAACCAGTCCTCCTTCACCTCATCCATTCTCTGTATATTTAATGAATCCAGATATTGCAACAGAAATATACAGAAATACATAGTTGCTACCCTCAAGAGTTCCTACCCTTAAGAAGTGTACAGTCTAGGAAATAAAATGACTAGAGTGAACTGCCAAGAATTATTATAACAACAGCTGAATGCAAAGTAGACTTTCTGATACTTAATTAGCTATTAAACTGGCCTCTAGGTAGGATCTGCCAGGATCTGCCTAAAAGAAATAGGAGATTTTAGACAAAACAGGGTGACAAAGACACAGAGAAAGGTTCAATTTGCAGAGAAATGGTTTTAGGAACGCACGTTTTGGGAGCGGTAATGGTTCTGATTGATAAGCTGAAGGACAGCAAGCTGAGACTTCGTTCTACACACAATGTGAAATTTCTTAAAGTATTAGGAACGAGAACAGACTGCATCATTTTAACAGGAGTAAAAAAGTATGTTCAAAAAATGATTGAGAAACTTAAGAGACTATTATAATACCTTAAGTGTCAGAAAAGCCCTGCTATGAGGGATCCCCAGGAATGAATAAACAGGAGAAATGATGTAGAAAGGAGCATAAATAAGACTTGACATGTTGGGTGTAGTGGTCTATGTCTGTATCCTCACCTATTCAGGATGCTGAGGCAGCATTTAAGACTAGCTGGAGCTGGGCACGGGTTCACATCTGTAATCCTGGCTAATCAGGAGGCTGAGGTCTGAGGATCACAGTTCAAGGCCAGCCAGGGCAAGAAAGTATGTGAGACTCTTATCTTCAATAAACCAATAGAAAATTGGAAGTGGTGATGTGGCTCAAGTGGTAGAGTGCTAGCCTACAGCTGAAAAGCTCAGGAACAGTGCCTAGGCCCAGAGTTCAAGCCCCATGACTGACCAAAAAAAAAAAAGAAAAAAAGAAAAAAAGACTAGCTGGGGATTAATGGCTCACGCCTCTAATCCTAGCCACTAGCCACTCAGGAGGCTGAGATCTGAGGATTGCAGTTTAAAGCCAGCCCAAGCAGGGAAGCTGGTGAAACGCTTACCTCCACTGACCACCAAAAGCTAGAAGTGGAGCTCTGGCTCAAATGGAAGAGCATTAGCTTTGAGCAAAAAGCTCAGGACATGATTTTAAGCCTCAGGAGCAGCGTGTGTGCGCACGCGTGCACGTGCACACGCGCACACACACGCACGCGCACACACGCACGCGCGCACACACACGCGCGCACACACACGCACGCACACACACACATGCACACACACACACACACACAGACTAGCTGAGCTACATGGAGATACTATCTCCAGGAAAAAAAAAGGAAAAGACTATTTGGTTATGCAAATTGTAGCAAAGTGAAAGATGAGATTTTTAGTTAAAAATACAGGAGAATTGAGAGTAGGCAGTCCTATTTTAAAGATCAAGAAAAAGGACTAGCTTAGACAGGAAGATGATAGCTTCAATTTGGGTATCTGAAGGTTTTTAGCAAGGCACTGGATGGAAATGGGAAATCTAATCTTGGGAAATCTAGGTGGGAAGTCGAATCTAATCATCAGGTGTTACTAAATGCTACTGGAAAGGGTGAAGATTTCATGCAAGACTGCATAGAAAGGGATAGGGTCCACAGGAGGACTTGAGAACATCCACTTCTTGAAGCTGCACAGTGTTGATGTGTCTCCAAGAGTAAGTCCCAAGAACCTCCATCCCATCACACTCACCCCACGTGTTGTTCTCAGAATGTAGAATCTGTGAGAGATTAGTCCATGCCCCTCATCTCACTTCCTCACCTTTTTCTTGAGTTTGTTGAATTTCTTCTGTAGAGCCTCTTCCTCCTCGCTCAGTCCCGGAGGTATCACCAACATGGTGGTTCCTGGTTTAGGGGTAGGACCCAAGACATCTTTCTCCACTGTCACCACCCAGAGTTTACACGCCGTCCACCCTGTACCCCAAACCACTCCTCCAGGACTGCCTACTCCCGTCTCCGGCCTTTTTCTAACCCTTGTTTAAACCAGGTTTCCTTCCAAGCTCCCGCTCGTCCTAATCAACCTGCATATCCTCGTCTTCCAGGTTCACAGACCGGGTTCAAGGCCCGAGAGAGGGTGTTGTAAAATACCTTCACCATCGCCAACACGATGGCACCCGACCTCCCCCCCATTACTCTCATTAGGTATGGCCAACCCTGGGGTCCCGACGGCAGAGGGGACGCCTGACCGCGCACAGCACTCTCTGAGCAGCAAAAGAGGAGAAAGAAGAAAGAGAGAGCTCAGCTTAAAGGGACGAAGAGTGAGGAGGGAGAAGACTTACCTGAGGGGGCGGCACCCGGGGCCCCACGGTCTCAGGAGGCGCCCGCGCCAGCCTCCGCAAGCGGGCTCAGAGCGATGACGTCGAAGGGGGCGGGAGGAGAACGCGGTTACCAAGGCTGCCGGGGCGCAGGAACTTCCGCCCGGCCTTCCTCAGTCCCAGAACCAGCCCTTCGCTCACGCCGCCGGCGGGGGCGGGGGCGGGGACAGGGAGGGGGTAAGGAGGCGTGCCGGAAGTCGGCTCTGTTTTCGCCCTCTTTGGGGCGGGGCTTACTCCACAGTCACTCTGAATTTCCGGGCTGCTGTGGTGGCACCAGGATGATGGAGACCGAGCGACTCGGTGAGGGAGAGGGGTGTGGGACGGAGTGGACAGGTGTAATGACTCATGACCCCTGACCTGTGACCTTTCCCTTGTAGTGCTGCCTCCCCCAGATCCCCTGAATCTTCCTCTTCGAGCCGTGGAACTGGGATGCACTGGGCGCTGGGAAGTGCTGAATGTGCCTGGAGCTCCAGAGAGTACCGTGAGTATCTTTGACCCGCACCTTTGACACGCCTAAAACTAAACTCTGCCCTTCTTGTAGTTGGATATGGCATGGCCTGGCTCCCCTGGGGAGGGACACTGTCAAGACTCCAGCCCATTGGATTTGTATCCATCCTCAGACCCACGTGAGGATGGATAGCTAGGATTGCTGGAAACATTTTAGCTTCAAGATCTGCTCTCTGAAAGGTCTCTTTTCTCTTTGGAGCCCTCTTCTTTTGTCTGCAAGGACCAGGACACTTGGTAGCTGAGATCAAGCTTTTGAGCCCTTGGCTCATTCTTAGGCCTGCGACGCCTTTTAAAAATTAGTGATTTTCATCTTTGAGTGTGCTTCATGGTTAGCAGCAGTGCTTTCGGAAAACACAAATTCCCAGGTCTGGCCTATATGAGTCTGAAACATCAAATTTGCATTAACTACTGCCCTAGTAATTGAGTTTCAGGTAGTTTTGGACAACCTTTGGAAAATAGTGCTTCAGCCTGATTCTTCTGACTGTCTGTTTGAAATAGCCACTCTTTCTTTCTTTTCATATTGGGATTTGAATTCAGGGCCTGGACTTGCTTGGCTGGAGCTCTACCCTTCCAGACTTGTTTTATGATGATTATTTTGGAGATGAAATCAGTGAACTTTTCTGCCTGTGCTGCCCTCAGACTAGGATCATCCAAATCTCACTTCTTGAGTAGCTAGGATAACAGACATGAACCACTGGTGCCTAGTGTTCATTCCTTTTTAAAAAAAAATTGTTGGGGCTGGGAAGGTGGCTCAGTGGTAGAGCGCTTGCCTTGCATGCCAGAGGCCCTGGGTTCGATTCCTCAGCACCACATAAGCAAAAAAAAAAAAAAGAAAAGAAAAGAAAAGAAAAGCCGGAAGTGGCGCTGTGGCTCAAGGGGTAGAGCGCTAGCCTTGAGCTGAAGAGCTGAGGGACAGCGCCCAGGCCCAGAATTCAGGCCCCATGACCGGACCAAAAAAAAAAATTGTTATTCTAAAGGTAATACACAGAGGGGTTACAGTTATATAAGTTAGGCAATGAATACATTTCTTTTTTGACCATGTTACTCGTTCCCTCAGTGTTCATTTCTGATCTTAACCCAAGTCCCGTCACTTCTTTTGTGTGTACTTTATTCTTTGTTAACTAATGCTTCTTTTCTGGCTCTTGTCCCAGCTTCCCCATGGCCTTCCTCCTTGTGCCCCAGATCTGCAGCAAGAAGCAGAGCAGTTGTTTCTCTCATCTCCAGCTTGGCTTCCTCTGCATGATGTGGAACATTCAGCTCGGTGAGGAGTCCAGAGGGGCCCAAACTAGGGAGAGAGGCCAGCTGATAGAAGCTGGGATAGGAAATAAGTACTCAACAAGTCACTTTCCTTCTTTATAGAAAATGGCAGAGGAAGACAGATCCCTGGTCTCTCCTGGCTGCTCTGGGAGCCCCAGTCCCATCTGATCTTCAGGCCCAAAGACACCCAACCACAGGCCAGATATTAGGCTATAAGGAGGTAAGAGGTCAGGGGCTCTTGGAAGTAGCTTCTGGAGATCAGAAGCAAGGTCAGCATCACTGGTACTCTGATCTCTTATCTCAGGTCCTGCTGGAGAACACAAACCTGTCAGCGACTACTTCCTTGTCTCTTCGCCGGCCTCCAGGGCCCATCTCTCAGTCACTATGGGGAAATCCAACACAGTACCCTTTCTGGCCAGGTGACTCTTGTAGGGATAGGAATGTATGAGGAAGGATTTCCTACTGATTCTGTTCTGCTCTCATCCCATGAATACCTAACTGTCCACCCTCTTCCCTAGGTGGGATGGATGAGCCTACCATAACAGATCTGAGCACTCGGGAGGAGGCTGAGGAAGACATAGATTTTGAGAAAGGTGAGGAGGGCTTTGCATCCGGGGTCTGAGGAGTAGAACCCTGGGAATGTAGCCCAGTCTCTGGGCTGCTGCTAGCCTTTCATGCTTTTGCGAACAAGGAACCTTTTCCCAGGACCAAAATGGGGAAAGGTTCTCCTTTCTATAATATCCTTTTCCCATCTCTCAGAAAGTATTCACAGCAGACATGCCATCAACAGTGTCTAGGCTGTAGATGTCTGCATTAATACATGTATAACCTGTATGACAGTATCTGTGGCTGTGATTCAGTCTCTCTGCCCTCCAGATCTTCTTACTGTCCCACCTGGCTTCAAGAAAGGCATGGACTTTGCCCCAAAGGGTGAGTTTGATAAGGTTTTGTGGTAGAGTCCTCCTCTAGAGAGATATGGAGTTGACAAGGTGGTCCTTTTTTTTTTGCCTTGTTCCTCAGATCACCCAGCTCCAGCACCTGGGCTACTTAGCCTCAGTCGTCTGCTAGAACCTCTAGATCTGGGGGGTGATGAGGATGAAAGTGAGACAGTGGGACAGCCAGGAGGTCCCAGAGGGGACACTATTTCAGCCTCTCTCTGTGATGCTCCTCTGGCCCGAGCAAGCAGCTTGGAGGACCTAGTATTGAAGGTTGGTGGTTCTAGGATGTGGAAGCCTGGAAGAAGGGGTCCTGTCACAGGGAGGGTAGAGGCTTGATTGGGCCTGAGGGGCAGATTGGAACATCTTTGGGAGGGATTGGTAACAGTTCTCTTCGGCTGTACTTTTACTACCCTTGCTGCCAACTTTTCCAGGAAGCATCTACAGTTGTATGCCCTGTGGAGCCTCCCAAACCTCCACCTCAGGAGGAATGGGCCATTCCTGTGGATGTCACCTCCCCTGTTGGTGATTTTTACCGCCTCATTCCACAGCCAGCCTTTCAGGTACTGAGGCCCAGTTCTCATACATTCCTCTACTTCTTGGGGGCCCAGACCCTGGCCCTGGTTTCCCTCCCATTTCTTGTCTCCTCTCTCCACCAGGCCAGTTATCAGTCCCAGTCTGCCTCACTCCTCTCTTCTTTCTTCTGCCCTGCAAGCCAAGCAGAAATCAGGAAGTCCCTCCTTTCTTCAGCCGATATTGGTCTTTCTCTCTTACAGTGGGCGTTTGAGCCAGATGTGTTTCAGAAACAGGCCATCCTGCACTTGGAACAGCATGACTCTGTCTTTGTGGCAGCGCACACATCTGCAGGGAAGACAGTTGTAGCTGAATATGCCATTGCACTGGCCCAGAAACATATGACACGGTACAAGTATCCTCTTTAGCCTCCTGCTTTTGCCAGCCAGTCCAGTTTCTCCTGCATTCTTTATGGATTGGTCTCTTCTCCAATCTACCTTGTCCTTTAGATGTAAGGTTCAGGAGAGAGACTGAGATGGGAGCTACAGAGAAATGAAAAGGCATTTATAATTTAAGGACTTGTTTAAGGAGTGGGAGATGATATTTTGTCTGTAGTCATTTCGGGGAAAAAGTATACGAAGGCCATTGAGTAAAAAGGGGAGCACTGTAGCCTCTGGGGTATGAGCCTGGGAGAGTTCAGAGGTAGAAAGGAGTCACTGAGTCTGTGTGGAGGGACTGGCTGATTTCATACCCTCTTCCTAGAACCATTTATACTTCACCCATCAAGGCCTTGAGCAACCAGAAATTCCGAGACTTTCGAAACACATTTGGGGATGTGGGGCTACTCACTGGGGATGTGCAGCTGCACCCAGAGGCCTCCTGCCTTATCATGACAACAGAGATCCTTCGGTGAGAGAGGGGACCCTCACAGGTGGGTTTTGGGTGGGCAGGTGAGGCTGCTTCAGAGTGGGCCACTGAGGCAGGGTGCAGCTGCTGGCTGCTGGCGAGTCAAACCTTTTCCTCTTCTCCCCAGCTCCATGCTGTACAGTGGATCAGATGTCATCCGGGACCTGGAATGGGTCATCTTCGACGAAGTTCATTATATCAATGATGCTGAGGTAAGGGGGAGGCAGAGGGTCTCTCTTGGGACTACTTGAACAGCCCTTCTGTTCCATACATCTTGAGGACTTTACTGCCTTCTTTGCCCACAAACGGAACTCCAAGGGCACTAGGACTGCCCCTTGGCTCCCTGTGACTTCTCTCTCCTGTTCGTGTCTAGCGTGGGGTCGTGTGGGAGGAGGTGCTCATCATGTTGCCAGACCATGTCTCCATCATCCTTCTGAGTGCTACTGTCCCCAATGCCCTAGAGTTTGCTGACTGGATTGGGTGAGATGTGTATCCTAGGGTGCTTTGTTGAGGGAGTTGTAGTATTCCTTCACTGGGGTGTAGAATAGGAGGGAAGGCTACTATAGTAAGGGTCAGGATCCTTGAGGATGGGGCTTAGGTGACTGTGGAATCCCCACGGGGCCCAGAACTTTGCATGTTAAGATTGGATGGTAGGGTTCAGCCTTCCATGCTGTGTCTCAGAAAAGTCTGAGTGAAGTCAGAAGGTTTAGGGAAGGTGGTAAAGCTGGGGGTTCTTTCTTATACTCCCAGTCTGATCTGTTGCTGTCTTCTCCCTTCAGACGGCTGAAGCGTCGCCAGATCTATGTGATTAGCACAGTTGCCCGGCCTGTCCCCCTGGAGCACTATCTCTTCACAGGAAACAGCCCCAAGACCCAGGGGGAACTCTTCTTGCTGCTGGATTCCCGAGGTGCCTTCCACACCAAAGGGTAAGCTCAGAGCTGGAAGAGTCAGGGCTGAGTCCTGATTCAGCCTGATGCCACCCCTCTATGTCCCAGGTACTATGCAGCTGTGGAGGCCAAGAAGGAGAGAATGAGCAAACATGCTCAGACCTTTGGGGCCAAGCAGCCCACACACCAGGCAGGGCCTGCGCAGGTGAGAGCTGGGAGAGTTCTGTGTTTACCAACATCTGTTTCTCTATAACCCTTTTTCCCCTGGTCCTTAGGGACTTGGACTTGAGGTCTGAACCCTCCCTGATTTACCATGACTACCCCTCCTCCACTTTAGCTCCCACTGCTTCAAAGATTCAACCTCTGCCCCTTTCCCTTTGGTTGTCCAGGACCGAGGAGTGTACCTGTCCCTCTTGGCCTCACTCCGCACCCGGGCCCAGCTGCCTGTGGTAGTGTTCACCTTCTCTCGGGGCCGTTGTGATGAGCAGGCCTCGGGCCTCACCTCGCTTGACCTCACTACAAGTTCAGAGAAGAGTGAGATCCACCTCTTTCTGCAGCGATGTCTGGCGCGTCTCCGTGGCTCTGACCGACAGCTGCCCCAGGTGTGTCTGGGTGGAAATTGGGAGGGATTGGAGGTTCTGAGATCCATTCCTGACTGAGGGCTATCTTCTTAATTCCACAGGTCCTGCACATGTCTGAGCTCCTGCATCGGGGCTTGGGTGTACACCACAGTGGCATCCTGCCCATCCTCAAGGAGATTGTGGAGATGCTGTTCAGCCGTGGCTTGGTCAAGGTGAGCATGGTGGGGAGAAAGGGCTCCTAGGCCCTGGATACCCACTTGGCATGGCAGAGATGAGGGCAGGACAGTATATTGGTTAAGAACCTAGGTTCTGAGTTGGAGTCACTGACACAAACCCCAAAAGCTAACAAGCATGTGAAAAGTCACTAGTAATTAGAAATGCAAATTGAAATGCCTTCAATAGATGAATTTACAGCCATTTGGTAAAATTTAGAAATTGGCTCATGCCAAATATGGCCAGAGACATAGGAGACTTTAGAATTTTCTAGGATTCCTTGTACAGGTATAACCAATTTGGCACTGTTTGGCATCTCGACAACCTTCCCCATCTCCCACCTTGGCACTATTATACAAATTTGTTTGTTTTTTGTTGTTGTTGTTGGTCATTGGTCTTAACCTGGGTGCTATCCCTCAGCTCTTCAGCTCAAAGCGAACATTCTACCATTTGAGCCATAGTGCCATTTCCAGTTTTCTGGTGGTTAATTGGAGTTAAGAGTCTTATGGACTTTCCTGCCCAAGGTTGGCTTTGAACCATGATCCTCAGATCTCAGCCTCCTGAGTAGCTAGGATTACAGGCATGAGCCACCAATGCCTGGCAAGTATAGCACGTTTTGACCCTCAAGTCCATTCCTGGGTATCACAAATAAAAAAAAAATTTTTCTGGATGGTTCTAAATATTTCTTATTACAAGTTTATTTTTAATTCTACTTACATGGCATTAGACTTAGAAAAGTAACCTGTGTATTTTCAGCCTTTGCAATGTATTGAGATTTTCTTTAGAGCTTAGTATTGATCAGTGTCCCATTTTTAATGCTCTCTGGGAACCAAAACGAGTATCTAAAAAGAATATTCCTAGTGGGCAGAGCCACAACAGAGCCTCTTAACCACACCATCCAGATCTCCCCCATTGTTCACAAAGAAATTTTTTTTTTTTGGGGTCCGGTCATGGAGCCTGAACTCTGGGCCTGGGTGCTGTCCCTCAGCTCTTCAGCTCAAGGCTAGCGCTCTACCACTTGAGCCACAGCGTCACTTCCGGCTTTTTTTTCTTTGCTTATGTGGTGCTGAGGACTCGAACCCAGGGCCTCAGGCATGCAAGGCAAGCGCTCTACCACTGAGCCACCTTCCCAGCCCTCACAAAGAAATTTTTATCTTTGTCCATGAGAGAATGTATATGCTCTGTTCAATGTGATCTGGTTTTTGGTGGCAAGGTGGTAGTGCTATCAGGGTGCCTTTTACTAGGAAAATAGGTAAATGTGGGGGATGCAGTCCCACAGAATATATATACATACATGCAAACACAGGAATATAGGCAGTTATAGAAATACTATGTAGAAGAAAAGAAGGGCTGGGCGCTGGTAGCTTATACCTGTAATCCTAGCTACTCAGAAGGCTGAGATCTGAGGATTGTGTTTTAAAACCAGTTTAGGTAGGAAGGTCTGTGAAACTCTTACCTCCAGTCACCCACCCAAAACCAGAAGTGGCACTGTGGCTCAAAGTGCTAGAGTACTAACCTTGAGCAAAAGAGCTCAGGGACAGCTCCCAGGCCCTATGTTCAAGCACCACAACCAACCAAAAAAAGAAAAAGAAGAAAAAGAAAAAATCAGATATGTAACTGCATTGTGTGAGTTACAAATATACCTATACAAAACAGGAAATAATTCTGTAATAAAATATTCACACAAAAAGTTACTTAGTAAACACATTGGAATCATTATAGTAGGCAGTTAGATGTAGAATATACAAGCTAAAGAAAAGAAATGGGCAAGTTCATAAGCAAAATGAGAAACCACTTGTACCTACTTTGTGGATTTGCCTGGAGAGTTTAGTGAAATCCTGCAAATAGTGATCTGGGATTGAGCTGAGTTCTACCTAACCTTAGCCATAAGGTAAGGTAGGCTAGCCTGGTCTAGGGTGTGTGCAGAGCCCCTTTGCTGATTTTTCTCTTTCCCTTCTGTCCCAGGTCTTGTTTGCCACTGAGACCTTTGCCATGGGTGTAAACATGCCAGCACGTACAGTGGTGTTTGACTCCATGCGCAAGCACGATGGCTCTACCTTCCGGGACCTGCTCCCTGGGGAATACGTGCAGATGGCAGGCCGGGCAGGCCGGAGAGGCCTGGACCCCACAGGCACTGTCATCTTGCTCTGCAAGGGTCGTGTGCCTGAGATGGCAGATCTACACCGCATGATGATGGTGAGCAGGGGTGTCACGAGGACAAGCCAGGCTGGGCTCCAGCTTTGGAGATCTACTAGGTTCTCCTAAGTGTGCCTCTCTCTTCAGACTTTTTACTTTGCTTGGGAGAAGCCAAGGCAAAGCAAATCCAAGGAGAAGATTGGGTTCCATCTCCATCTGGTTTATTACCACTGTAAACACTGGGCTAACAGGGGTCTTTGAGAACGTGTATACTTCATTTGCTTTCTTACGTTACAGAGGAGGTGAGGGGTAGTTTGTATAGTTGCAGATCTGGTTCCCCGAGGGCTGGCCAGGGAATACCAGACTTCTCTGACTTGGCTCCAGGGGAAGCCTTCCCAGCTGCAGTCCCAGTTCCGCCTCACATATACTATGATCCTCAACCTGCTACGGGTGGATGCCCTCAGGGTGGAGGACATGATGAAGAGGAGTTTCTCTGAGTTTCCATCCCGCAAAGACAGCAAGGTGAGGCGATTGGGATAACCAGTACTGGTCACACAAAGACTTGGGAGAAGTGGGCATCTAAAAGGCAGTGTGGTGAAGGTGGCGGGCTGGGTTTGGAGTCTTTCATTACACAACCTTCCTCCTTCTGCTCAGGCCCATGAGCAGGCTCTAGCTGAACTAACTAAAAGGTTGGGGGCCTTGGAGGAGCCTGACACGACTGGCCAACTGGTTGATCTGCCTGAGTATTACAGCTGGGGAGAGGAACTGATGGAGACCCGGAATATGATCCAAGTGAGTGTGTGGGAGTGCTGGAGAGATGATGGGGAAGGAGGTAAACACAGCGGGTGCTCTGAACTTAGTCCTAGTGATGCCTCCTCCCCAGCTCCTTGTGTGTATGTCCTTCAGCGACGCATCATGGAGTCTGTGAATGGGCTAAAAGCTCTCTCAGTGGGAAGAGTGGTGGTTGTGAAGAATCAGGTGCATCACAACACATTGGGTGTGATCCTGCAGGTGAGGACAATAGAGATTTGGGCCCCAGAGTGTTGGGAGTGAGGGAGCAGGCCTCAGTCCCATCTTCTCTCTTTGGTTGGGGGTGAGGCTGGAGCCACTACAATGTCCTCTCCTTTTCCGCCCATCACTGTCACTGCATGCACACCTCCTTTTCCTGCTCCCATAAGCTGCCTTGATTGCTTGGCTTGGTTGCCACTCCCAGTCTGGTAGGCTTACCTGTTGTTTTCCTAACTGCTATCCAAGAGTGAGCATCTTGTCGCTACCTTTGTTGTCTATTCCTGACATTCTTGTCCTGTCCTTTCTGCATCCCCCGCCTCCCAGGTCTCCTCAAACTCCTCCAGCAGAATCTTCACAACCCTGGTCTTATGTGAAAAGCCTATGTCGGAGGATCCACAGGACAAGGAAGCAGCCACTCCAGATGTGCCCCACCCAGATGATCTGGTGGGCTTCAAGCTCTTCTTGCCTGAAGGTGAGAGTCAGGTTTCTGGCTTTCTGACTACAGTGTGAACTTGAGTCATGGCAAGGGCTGACCTCTGTTCTCCCAGGGGCCTGTGACCACACTGTGGCCAAGCTCCAGCCAGGAGACGTGGCTGCAATCACCACCAAGGTGCTCCGGGTGAATGGAGAGAAGATCTTAGAGGATTTCAGCAAGAGACAGCAACCGAAATTCAGGTCAGAGATGCTGCGAGGTGTTCCCTTTTCTCAGGAAGGGGCATGACATAGTACCAGATAGGAGGGTATGAGAAAGTCTCCTTCAGTCTGAAGTGAATGGTGAAGTTTGGGCAGGGGAGGGTTTTGCAGAGGAATTCCCCATAGAGATCTAAGGGAGATTCTCATGGCAAAGAAGCTATTACCCCATATTTCAAAACCCACATTTTTTAATTCAGAAAGGATCCTCCCCTTGCAGTGGTGACCACTGCTGTCCAGGAATTGCTTCGTCTGGCTCAGGCCTACCCAGCAGGACCCCCTACCCTTGACCCTGTGAACGACTTGCAGCTCAAGGATGTGTCAGTGGTAGAAGGTGGCCTTCGGGCCCGGAAGTTGGAGGAGCTGGTCCGGGGGGCTCAGTGTGTGCACAATCCCCGTTTTCCTGCCCAGGTAATTCCCAGGCAGGGTAGGAGGGATTTTCTGTGTGGTCTCTTGTGGGCTGGTCTGTTCCTCCTTGCCCTTAGTGTACCTCTGCTGAGGGTGAGGAAGCTGATAAGCTTGCTGCTTGCTCTGTAGTACCTGAAGCTGAAGGAGCGAATGCAGATTCAGAAGGAGATAGAGCGCCTGCGCTTCCTACTGTCAGATCAGTCACTGCTGCTGCTCCCTGAATACCACCAACGAGTAGAGGTAGGAGGGGCAGGAGTGGAGGTTGGAGAGTGGGGAAAGGATGGCAGGCTTCCCCACCATCTTTCTTACAGGTGCTCCGAACCCTGGGTTATGTGGACGAGGCAGGCACTGTGAAGCTGGCAGGACGGGTGGCTTGTGCCATGAGCAGCCATGAGCTACTCCTCACTGAGCTCATGTTTGACAATGCATTGAGCGCTCTGAAGCCTGAGGAGATTGCAGCCCTGCTCTCTGGCCTGGTTTGCCAGAGCTCTGGGGACCCTGGGGATCAGCTTCCAAGCACCCTCAAACAGGTAGAGGATACTATGCCTCTTCTTTTCTGGGCTCCAGCTTTTTTTTTTTTTTTTGTCGGTCATGGGGCTTGAACTTTGGGCCTAGGTGCTATCCCTGAGCTCTTCAGCTCAAGTCAAGTGCTCTACCATTTAAGTCGCCACTTCTGGTTTTCTGGTGACTAATTGGAGATAAGAGTCTCACAGACTTTCCTGCCTGGGCTGGCTTTGAACTTTGATGCTCAGATCTCAGCCTCCTGAGTAGCTAGGATTATAGGCGTGAGCTACTGGTGCTCTGCAGGGCTCCAGCATTTTTTTTTTTTTTTTTGTCGGCCGTGGGGCTTGAACTCTGGGCCTGGGCGCTGTCCCTCAGCTCTTCAGCTCAAGGCGAGCGCTCTATCCAGCATTTTTAACCCCTCCCACTAGCTGACCCCCTCTACTTGGGTAGGTAGATAGGGCTTCTTCCTGGATGCCAGGATTTCTTGGTCCTGGAGTAGGAAGGTGGGCCTTAATCTCTTTTTTTCCCCTTCTGCAGGGGGTGGAACGTGTCTGTGCTGTGGCCAAGCGGATTGGTGAAGTCCAGGTAGCTTGTGGCTTGAACCAGACAGTGGAAGAATTTGTGGGAGAGCTGAATTTTGGGCTGGTCGAGGTTGTGTACGAGTGGGCCCGGGGTATGGTGAGTACATGAAGTTTGAGGTTTTGTGGAGAGAGGTTGCTCAGGCCTGGCACACATTCATTTCTCATTCTGTTTTTCTCACAGCCCTTCTCTGAGTTAGCAGGACTCTCGGGAACCCCAGAAGGCCTGGTGGTGCGCTGCATCCAGCGCCTGGCTGAGATGTGCCGCTCACTGAGAGGGGCTGCCCGTCTGGTAGGAGAGCCTGTGCTGGGTGCCAAGATGGAGACAGCAGCCACCCTGCTACGACGGGACATCGTCTTTGCAGCCAGCCTTTATACCCAGTGAAGAACCCCTGGGTAAAAGTGTAATAATAAAATAGCAAGCCACGGAGTATTCTTGGGATATTGGGCAGGGATGAATCAGCTCAGAAACAGCAGAGAGTCACTTAGAAATATTTCTTTACTCTGTACATTAACATAGGATAGATCCCTTCAAAACATCAGTCCTTGGGGGAGGGTGTCTTAGGGGGTGATGAGAGGTCCTGGGCCATGGCTTCCACATACCACGTGGGCAGGAAGGTATAGGGGCCATCTTGATGTACAGACACAGTGACTGGGTGGCCAGGCTCCCAGGAGAAGAGGTGGACAAGCCTAGAGGCAGATGGAAGTTGGGGTAAGGAGTGGAAGCTAAGCTCCCGGGATCTAGAGGAGAAACAGCTGAATGTCTCACCTGGGGTCATCTTGGATAACTGTGCTCTGTGCAAAAGTAAGGAAGGCAGCGCAGAAGTTCATGCACACAGAGGGGTTCCAGCCATCTCGGTCATTCTGGAGTGGGCAGAGGAGATAGAAGACTGGCAATCAGGTGAAAGCCAGGAGGAGGGCAAGGCCGACCACAGCCCAATAGTCTTGGTGTAGGGGTTAGGGGGTTAGGGGTAGAAACAGGTGAGTGCTATGACACTGACTTACCCTGACGTGTTCAAACATCTCCATGGTAGGAAAGGTCTTGAAGGAGCAGACAAAACCCTCTGGGTTACGGAAGCCAGCAACAACATTTGGGACCCCTAGGAGGAATGACTGAGCCCACCATTTTAGGAGCTTGTGTCTAACAGGAAAAGCAGAGAGTTAGTGAGATCCCTCCTCAACCCTCCATTCTGCCCTCACCCTCTTCTCCGGGTCCCCTTCCCAGCTGTTAATCTGGGCTCTTGTCTTGCCCACCCCTATCCTGTACCTGTAGAAGCTCCTCCACTGGCCAGGACTGTGCATCTCTTTAGAGGTCTTGAGCTCCACATAGCAGGTAGGAGGCTGTGTGGATGAAGCCTGAGGGTCTGTGCAGTCTACCTCCCCTGAGAAGAGCAGAGGGTGGTTTCCCAGGCGGCTGCGTAGCACAGAGCAGAAGGCCACGTTCGTGTTAACTTCCCCAGAGGGGTCTGGAGAGCCTCCAGGTTTGTCTGTACAAGGAGAGAAGCAGCAGCGGGGATGGGGGGCTCTCAAACATTTGGGGAAGGGGATAGAGACCAGAGAGTGGGGATAACTCTCACCTGCACACATGTACTGCTCAAACTTGTAGCCCATGTACATAAGCTCCCGGAGAAGGGGTGGCCTTGCAAGCCTCTGAGCCCGAGCGGCTGCTGTCTCCACCTCACTCAGGTACAATGTTCCCTGGAACCGAGAAGCTGCCAACTGCCATCCCTCCTGTCGCTCATATGGTGTTGTCAGCAATTTTGTCAGGTGCCCCCTCCATGTCACTATGGCCCCGGCCAGCCATCCTGGACCCCTGAGAGGGAAGAGTCCAGAGGCTGGGCTGAAAGTTTGATACAAGTCTTAGCTTAGCTCCTTTCCCCATCTGAGTCCCAAGGACTAGGTCCCATTCCAACTGTGGCTCTGACAGGTCTAAAGATCTACTTTTGTGCTAAACTTAGCTCACCCCTCCAGCTGGCCTCGGTGTTCCAGAAGCCAGCGTAGCAAGTGGTCAAGCCTCTCTTGGATCTCCTCATCCCGAGGTTGGTATCGGTCAGTGTAACCATCTCTGAGGTCAAAGTTGGGGCTTGGTCCATTGGTGGGGGGTGGGCTGTAGTAGCGGAGGGCTCGGGCATCTCCATAGTACTGACGCTTGTCATCCAGGGAGAAGCAGCCTAATTCAGAAGGGCGCCGGTAGAAAGGAAAGGATCCAGAGTACAGAGCAGGTTCTGTGGACAATGAAGGTGCTGAGCAAGGGAGTTTGTTCTGAGGCTCGGCTACTTCTATTTTCTCAGCACTTCTCTTCCTAGTCCCTGTGGAATCCATGAGGCCCTGCGAGGGAAAAAGTGCACGTTACAGGGTAGGTCAGGACCAAGCAAGCATCCTCCCAGGTTTTGGTCGTGAAGCAAACAGGCCCCAGCCCCTCAGCCAATCAAGTGCTCAACAGTGCTTTTCCTTGCCTATACCCCACTCCTGAGGTTCTCCCTAACGCAAACAAGGTAGGAAGTTTGGGCGCGGATGAAAGATCTGGTTACCTCAAAGCCCCCCAACCTTGACTTTCAACTCCGCGAGGCTATGACGTCAGGGTAATCGCGTCAAAAGCCGAAGAAGGTTGCAAAGGTGGTTTTTCTGCTCCGGATGACGCATTCATTCAGCGACTGTTGTAGGCAGATCCCTCGGGGCGGGGAGGGGCAGTAAGGTTTACACCAGGAATTTGAGCCCAACGTGGCCACGGTTCTCAGAGCCAATCGGTCGGTGGCAGGTGGGGAGCCGTAGCCGGGTGTACACTTCCCTTCACGCATTGGCCGGAGGGAGAACTAGCAACGCCTCCTTTATCGTCACATGGTGCGCGCGGGGGCAGGGGCGGGGGCGGTACATTAGGTCACGTGGTCTCTGGAGAGCACCGCCCAGCGGGGCCGTGCGTCACTGCCGTGCGCCGGAAGATTCTCTTTTCACCAGCCTTTTCATCAATTTCTCCCCCTTGGTCCAGTACCACCAAATCCCGGGCTATGAACCGAAAGCGGCGTCGCTTGCTTCCGGAGACCTTCGGACTGAAGAGGCGGCGGGAGCGAGGCCCTGTGGAAGTGGATCCTCTGAGGGGCGAGTCAGGTAACCGCGGCAGCCTCGGGGCCGGGCTGGAGACCCCCAACGGGCCGGGGCCTCCCTTCGGTCCCGGTGCGTTTTGGGTCCCCAGCTCCCTGTAGTTGGCTCCCCACCCCGCCTTAGTTTCGTCTTAATGACTCGGTCTCTCCACCTAGGGTCGGCGCGCGGGGCAGTGGCGGAGCTAGCGCAGCTGTTCCCGCGAGGCCTGTTCGAGGATGCCCTGCCGCCCATCGTGCTGAGGAGCCAGGTGTACAGCCTCGTGCCCGATCGGACGATGGCCGACCGGCAGCTGGTGAGGGGCATCCGAGCGACCGATAGAGGCCCCTGCCCTGCTTCACGGCCACTTGCGAAGTGCCTTGTCCTTCAGACCTTCAGTTGGTCTGCCAGCCACACAGCAGGCATTAGGCGAAGTGAAGGAAATGAAAGAGCCAGGCTTTGGGGAGAGCGGTCATGACGCATGGTTCAAGCAGACAGCTTTGGAAGGCAATCAGACGTAAGGTCCCTATAGGATCTCGCCCACCAGTGCTGTTTCTTCTGTCTTACACTGCAGAAGATAAGCTGGTAGAGAATGTTAAGCAGGATCAGGAATGGGGTATTAGGTGTACTGGAGGTAGTGCAGTCATCGAGATCATTTCTGAAGATACTGCAGCTGAGAACTGCTGACGGCCCAAGTAACGGGAATGTGGGAGGGAGGAAGAATCTGAGTGAGGCAAGCGGAGAGTGGGGAAAAGCTAGGGGTATAACTCCCAGATTTCCCAAAGTAAATATAGAAGGAAAACATTGAGTTGTTGGGGGTAGAGGTACAAGCTGATTTGAAGGTGCCTGTGGAGCATCCAAAGGCAACCGTGGTGGACAGGTGGATATGACTGTTGCAGGTAATTCTTTGCCAGTGATAGAGAAACGAAAGTGAGGGAGGCCTGAATAGTGATTCAGTTTGTGGATGTGAGTCAGATCTAGCAGGAAGAGTAGAGGTGTGATTTCTAACCTCTGAAAGTTATGGCTATTCTTCTCCAGAAAAACACATACAGGTCTGTGTGTGCACATACAAAGTATGGGCATATATATGCATATATATGTATATGTACTTTGTGGAGCAGTGTTTTGCAAGATCGCCAAAGAGATCAAGAGGTATGACAAGATATTAGGACCAAATCCACAATTCTGGGAGACACCAGCATTCAAAGCAATGTTAGTAACTGCCTGGGCTGCTTATTTAGAAAATTGAGATTCCTGGGACACACCCAAGGATAATGAGATGATCTCTTGAGAAGGGATATGGGAACCTACATCTTTGAACTATTGCTTTTAAATTTGAGATCCACTGATGTAAGGGAAAATAGAGGAAGAGGAATCTGAAACCAGCCTTGGCTACATAGCAAGACTTTGCCTGACTCAAAACAAAAAGAAAAACCCACCTAAAATGGAATAAAAAAATTCAACAAGAATCAACCTTTTGCATTGTTGATTTCTATGCATGTTTTCTATTTTCTCTTTTGGATTTTCACTTTATTTTTTCTTGCTAAATTTCATCTTTTCTATAACATGTAAGTCTGTACTTTCCCTCTAAATATTAATATATAAGTAGTAAATTTTAGTATGTATTTTTATTTACAAGTTAGAAGTATATTCTAACCTCCTTTGTGAATCTTTTCCTTTGATTCATTGGGTTGATTAGAAAGGTATGTCATAATTTCCAAAACTTTGTTCTAACCTTGTTACAGATTTTTGGCATAAATGACATTGGTGGCCAGAGAGCATGCACATTGTATAATTTTAGTCATTTGAAATTTGAGGTTTGCCTTACATACATGTTAGTTTTGCCAAGTAACATATATGTAATATATATAATATTTTGAAAATGATATGTATACCATTACAACTGATATTGTTGAAATGTTCTATTGTTTCACTTAATTTGTTCCTTTGTTCTGTGAGTTTATGAGAATTGGACTAATATTTTCTTTATTGTGGATTTGTTAATGACTTCAAATATTTCCTCTACTTTATCCCTTTTCTTTCTTCTGGGAATCAAATATACTTTGACCCTTCTTTTTGTATTTTATAAGTTTTATGACTGTCTTTTGTGTTTTCAGTATTTTAATTCTTTACTTTTTTTTTTTTTTTTATTCTGGGTAGTTTTTAAGATCTCCCTCACAGCTGAATAGCTTTTTATTCAGCTATCCCTAATGTATTCAACACATCTATCAAGTCATAATTTCATTTATTTTTCTGACCTAGATTTTCTGCTTGGACATTTTCAAGTCTTTTTATGATTTCCACTGATATTTTGCATCTTAGCCTTTATGTCAGCATTATGGATTATGGATTTTT